ATTCATCATGTATTGACCAGTTTGTCTTTTGTTCACCTTTTAGCGGTTGCACATCAACCAAAAAAGTACGAGCAGATCATGAAAACGATCCGTCAGACCCACCGAGCTGGAGCAGTATGGGCTGAAGGTCAAGAGTTGCCCATGTGGACGTTCCATATGGACAACGGGGCCAGATGGGGCATTGCAACTACCAACCATGGAGAAAGTATAAATAATGTGTACAAGGGTCTTCGAGCGATGCCTATTTCTGTCATCGTGGAAATGTCTTATTGGAAGGTCAACGAGTGGCGAGTTGCTCGGCTACAGCTAGCTATAGGGAGGGAGTTGCAAGGTCATTCAGTAGCACATGACATATTCGCTCAAATGCAGAAGAACGATGAAAGATCAAGTAAGCATAAGGTTGTTCTTTTTAACCGCAGTGAAGGAATATTCGCTGTCGAAACAGGTATATGGGGTGGAGGGAGACGTGGTCACAATCGTCAAACGGTCAAATTGCACTACGAATTAGGGGAGTGTTCTTGTCAAAAGTATCAGAACGAAAGGATACCCTGTTCACATGCAATGGCGGTTGCTAAGTCAATAACCATGAACAGAAACAGCCTGGTGAGTCCTTACTACACTGAACAAGCGATACGGAACTCATATAATGCAGCTTTGAGCCCCATGCCAGATGAAGCGTATTGGCCTATATACGCTGGAAAGTTGATTATCCCACCGTTGCACCTAAAACGCACCAAAGGCCGTCCTAGAGTTGAAAGGATACACAATGAGATGGATCAAATTGAACGGACGAGAAGGGGACCGAAGCGATGCTCTAAGTGCAGACAACCTGGTCACGACAAGAGGCGTTGCCCAGGACAACCATCAACTTAATTTGCATTTACTTGTATTCTGCTACTAAATTGATCGCTTGTTTAATTTTTCATTACCGTTTGCATTTGAAGTCCAAGTATTTTGTTAAATCTAAAATGTTTTCCTTGTCGATACGATCGCGCTGCCGCAAACGGCTCGTTATTTCGACCTCAAACGAATAAGATACGGGCGTTTTAGTTTATAGTACGCAAAAGTTACTTTAACGATACGATCACGCTTTGATGTCACTTATCTCACTCGTTTGGACTCGGAATTGGGATCTGTAAAATTCTATGCGATCGTGGTTGATTTTCCCAACTTTTTTGTGTTGAGGGAAGATACTGATTCTTGATAAAATGATCCAGAAAATTCATTCGACAACTTAAGTGCGTAGGATAGTTTTTAGACAATGCAAACTCAAATAACAACACCTAAAAATCACAAAAACAACATTGATAGTTCAATACAATGATAAAACGATAAATTCACTCATTTGCTTCATTTTGGCCACCATCTCCACCTCTTCCTCCTCGTCCTCCACGACGTCCTCGACCCCTTCTTCCCCCCTCCGCCGCTGCTTCTTAGCGGGCTCGCTCAACGGCTGGTCGCGGATTTCTCTTGACCCGAGCCCCAACTGGGGTTACATATGGTGGTGGTGGTGGCTGAGTTGGACCGGTAGCTTGACGAATGATCGGAGTTTGTTGTTGCGGGGTCTGAAACATCGAACTTTGTTGCTGATGTTGGAATTGAGAGAACCCATGAGAGAAAGTGTCCCATTCCTGAGATCCTCCACGACTCGATGACCCTCCACCGGCATCCGCTGCAGGTGCCCACTGGTACTCGAACGGTTCGGGGAGCTCGGTTGCTTGAGTGGTACGCACCTCTTCGAACGTAGGCAAAGGCCTGCGTTTGCTCCTTCGTGGGGGCTCAACCGGGGGCACAATGGCTGCATCATCACGGAATGAGGGTCGTGCCGGGGCAGGAACGGGAGGATAGGCCACGACATCCCTCCTTTGCTCTCTGGTGCAACTCAGGAGGTTATTCATAAGTCGGGTCAACCAAGTAGTCTTCCGCTCATCCATGGTTGGAGCACTTTCGAGAGTGTACTTCGCGTGTTCCAAACCATCAACCTAAGGAAAGCACAAAATATATCAAATTAACTAAACCTTAAAATAAATATATTTTAGAATGAGGGAGATTAGGATGACTTACCAACGAACCCATCACAGCACCTTGCTTTGACACCCATCTCAGGGTGAACTTCCGATACCACTGCATGTACCCATCGTGGTAGCCCATCGGTCTCGTCTCCGGCATCCCTTGCACCACCCATTGGGATCGATTCTCCCAGATGTTGATGTAGAATCCATGCTTTAGCGTCCAGTTTGCATTGTTTCGGAGGTCCATAGCATGTAGCTCCCTGAAACCTGCTGGCGGGTCTTGTGGAATTGGTTGCTCCATTCGATATTGCCTCAGGGATCGATCGGGTAGGTGCCATTCCACAATGTGCCAGCAGATCAATGGCACCTTACACAACCACGTCTCGTGATCCAGAGGGTGCCTAAGATGATGCAGCTCAACCACTTCACGTGGATATGGATCCCATATAACCTATATTCATTCAAAAATTAACGACCATTTACTTTGATAAAATTGATCTTGTTCAAATATGGACAAAACATGATTACCTGATTCCACCATGGTTTATCTAACTCAGAACGATAAAACAGTAACGAATGCTCAGGCTGATGGTCATTCGTATTTGCTCCTATCCACCTTGTAAGTAAAAGTACGGAATCAATTTAAATTCAATTTAAATCTAGTTAAGCATGTAATAAAAATTAAATTGGGCTAAGTATGGAATAAATTCAATTTAAATCTAGCTCAAGCATGTAATCAAAATTTAAATTGGGCTAAGTACGGAATAAATTCAATTTAAATCTAGCTCAAGCATGTAATAAAATTTAAATTGGGCTAAGTACGGAATAAATTCAATTTAAATCTAGCTCAAGCATGTAATAAAATTTAAATTGGGCTAAGTACGAAATAAACTTACTTGACACCGTAGGGGAGATTTTGCAGAAGGTTGAGCTCATCATCGTTTCTCCGGTATGGACGTGGGTCGAGAGGTGCGAACATTGGAAGATGCTCCCATACCCACAGTTGAACGATGAACATCGCAGCACCAGCTTGCTTTGCCCCAACCTTCGAGCAAGTACACAGCTCCCGGTATACGCCCGCTAGCACGGCCGATCCCCAACTCTTCTCTCCAATTGCATCCCAGTCACCGGTGAGCAATGGCAACCATATGCCTTGAATCCACCGGTTGGACTTGTCGGGGAACAAAAATCCACCCACCAAACCGATGAGGTAGATGCGGGCATAGCGCTCGACTTGTTCTTCCGGTGTCTCGTCATTGATTTCCACCTCTTGCTGGATGTGAGATACCAGCCACGGGACCGACACTTGCCCCGCATTCAACGGTGGATGCCCCCGTCCTTGATTTGGTGTGGTGGTCGGCATGTCGAAGCCCAAACGATCACGGATGAGCGGCCCCCAACCTCCTCCGGGTTTGGTCGTGGAACCAATGATGGCATCTCCAGATATAGGAAGCCCGGTGAGGATCGCCACGTCTTTGAGGGTGATCGTCATTTCCCCCTCCGGAAGGTGGAATGTATGGGTTTCGGGACGCCATCGTTCCGCCATTGCCGTAAGCAGCTCGTTGTCGATCTCGATCCGCAAGAAATGGCGCAACATTCCCAAACCGGTCCTCGCTATATAGGGCTCCAACCTTGGATGCCAAGCGGGCAAGTTATTAGTCCCTTTATGAACCACGGGAACAAGAGATTCCTAAAAAAAAATAGGAAAAACATCAATTTATTAGATTAAATAAAGCAAAATAAAACATTAGAAAATAATAAAATAAAGCAAGTCAGTTCATCAAATTACCGGATTGTTATCCCAAATGGCACGGGAGCGATGCATTTCTTGATCGGTTAAGAGACTCGCATCCCTTGGGCCATAATGGATATACAATCGAGGATCGTATATCTCGGCACCCATCTATAAAAAAGTAATGAAATCAGAGATTGTTTTGATAAAAAAAAAATCAAATTGTTTCGATTAAAAAAAATCACAAACCAAAAACCTACACGAAGAGCCTCTTCGTCCATTATTGGCGGAAGCCGGACAGAGGATCGACGGGTTTAGGTTTGTAAGGGACGGGAACTTAGCGGGACGGGGGCTTTAGGGTCAAACTCTAGTAATTCTTTCTGATGTGGAAGATCGGACTTAGCCGCAACCACAGAGCATACTTAGAACGAGACTAGAGCGGATAAATTGAGGGAGAAAGAAGTGAAATGTTTGTGGGGTGAGTTGAAAGTGAAAGGGGAAGGGGGTATTTATAGTTTGGGGGAAGGGGGGAGGAGCTGCTGCGCAGTTATTAGGGGAACATTCACCGCGTTTGATGAACGCGGTGAACTCATCGCCTTAACCAAACGCGGTGAATGCAGAGCTGACGTGGCGTGCTGTGAGGCGTCGGATCGTGGGAAGAAAACCACGATCCGCGTCTCACCGCATCTAACGGCCACGGTGAAAGCACACTGGCGCGGATCGCTGACGCAAACAAACATGGGGTATTCACCGTGTTTGTCTAACGCGGTGAATACCCCGTGCTGTCCACGTCAGCGACTTCACCGTGTCCAACAAAAACGGTGAAGCCTTCACCGTTTTAGTTTAAAACGGTGAAGCCTTCACCGTTTTTGTTTAAGACGGTGAGGTGTTCACCTTTTTTAACAAACGCGGTGAACCCTTCACCGTTTTAGTTTGAAACGGTGAAGTACTCACCGTGTTCGTCAAACGCGGTGATGACCTTCACCGCTTTTGTCTAACACGGTGATGCTCAAACATGTGTACTTTGGGAATTTTTTTTATAACTTATGTATTTTGGGAATTTTTTTTAAGAACTAGTGTACTTTGGGATTTTTTCCGAAAAAAGTAGCCTATGTAGGAAGCTCTCTCACCATTCTAGTTACGGTTACACTCCTCCATTTGGCAACGAGGATGTACAAATTATAAGGAGAGCAAATTATAGTAGGATACATTTGATGTGTAAATTGTTGTTTGGAAGAAAAAGTAGGGGTGTTAATAGAATTGTAAAATATTTATTTTAATATTTTAATTATTATTAATATAAAAAAATAAAAACCTAAATCATTAACACCTCTCTTGCCTTCTATCTCTCTCCAACCCACAATACATTTCTTCCCCAACATGGCCCCACCCTCTCTTCTTCCTCTTCCCCCTCTTCCTTCCGCCCCATTTTGAGGTGCAGCCCAAACAGTGGAATTGTACCTCCTTTGCACACCCCTTCAATTGTTCCAAATTATCCAAGAGAGTGCAAATGTCTCGATTTTTGCATTTGCACCCAAAAAATGCAACCCCCCCATGTTAACCAAACAGAGTGTTAAGGTCTTCTCATGTAACCACAGGGGTGCTAAGCACCATAAGTTTCTGTCCACTTTTATGTTGTACAAGGCTTCTTATAAGTCTGATATTATGTGTTTTCTTGAACCCAGAATCAGCGGGAAGGATGCCACTTTGGTTATTAAGAATCTTGGTTTTGATGTTTCAGCTATCTCTGATGCTACTGGGTTCAGTGGTGGCATTTGGGTCCTCTGGAACGAGTGTGAGATAAGAAGCTTGAAGATATTGACACTCATAAGCAGTTTCTCAACCTCAAATGTTGTTATGCTTTGAAGGAAAGATTCCAATTGACAGTGTGTAAGGTAGTCAAAATGAAACTGACAGAGTGGATCTGTGGGACTCGATAAGAAACATCGAGAAGACCACTCTCCTCCCATGGATACTGACAAGCGACTTTAACTCTATTGCTAGGGCTTGTGACAAGCAATGAGGCATTTGCTTTTAGCTTCGCCAAAGTTCGTGCTTTCAACGAATGCATTGAGGACTGCGGGTTGATTGACCTCGGGTTTTCTGGGCCCAAGTTTACTTGGTTCACAAGGAATTCTGGCATTAAAGAGATGTTGGATCGCAGTTTGTGTAACCCTAAATAGCAGCAGATGTTCCCCTCAACAATCACTTTTCATTTGCCAAAGATTAAGTCAGATCATCGCCCAATCATGACTTGTACTTCAAACCAAATGGTGAAACAGAAGTTGGTAAGGAGGAATCAGTTTCTTGCACCAGGGCATGCTCATGAGGACTTTCCAGCTTTTTTGTAGTCTTCTTGGAGCAGTGGAGAGGATTTCAATCTGTCTCTACAGCATCTCTCAAAACACCTACAAAAATGGAATAAGGAAGTGTATGATAACATTTTTCAAAGGAAGAAAAGAATCATGTCTGAGCTCAAGTCCCTGGAGATGCTAAATGAAAGAAGTTCATCAACGAGATCCATTAACAAAGAACGACAAACTAGGGAGGAACTGGAGGTAACACTTTGGCAAGAAGAGTTACTCTGAATACAAAATCCAGGACTAACTGGCTGGTGTTTGATGATCTTAATACACGTTTCTTTCACACCAGCACTCTAAGCAGAAGAAAGAGGAACAAGATCACTTGCCTTCATGATGACTAGGGACATTGGATTGCTGATGCCAATTCACTCCTCACCATGGCCAGAGAGTATTTTCTGCAACTGTTTACTAAGAATATCATTGCTGTTGGACATAATATCCCTGCTAATTTTCCTGAATTAGAGAGTTGTTTGATGTCTAACCTGAATTCATTTCCTTGCTTTGAGGAGATTAGAAGTGTGGCACTAGATATCAATGGCCTGAAGGCCCCAGGCAAAGATGGTTTTCATGCCATCTTTTACAAAAAATGATGGAGCTCTGTGGGGAGAGATTTTTGTGCTTTCATCTCCTCGTACTTCAGGAACCCTGGCAGAATTCAATGCATTAGTGAGATTCTCCTTACTTTGATTCCAAAAGTGGAAAGCTCTACTTCGATGAGTCATTTTAGACCAATTAGTTTGTGCAATGTTGGTTACAAAGTGATTGCTAAACTGATTGCTAATAAACTGAAACCTTTGATGCTCCATTTGGTGAAAAAGAATCAGTCTAGCTTTATTCCTAATCGCCATATATCTGATAACATAATTATCTTGCAGGAGCCCATCCATTCAATGGCAAGAAAAAGTGGCAGGAAGGGCTTCATGGTCCTGAAAGTGGACCTTGCCAAAGCTTATAACAGAATTGACTGGGAGTTCCTGTAAGAAACTCTTAAAGTTGCTAGACTCCCTGATAACTTCATTAACATGATCATGAAGTGTGTGTGACTTCTACAAGCTACCAAGTACTCTGGAATGGAGGAGAAACTAAGAGCTTCAGACCAACCAGAGGACTTAGACATGGATGTCCCCTCTCTCCCTATCTCTTTACCCTTTGTGTTGAAAGATTAAGCCATGGCATTGATTTTGAAATGAAAATGGAACTTGGAACCCCATTAGGCTGTCACCAGGGGGTCTGTCCTGTCTCACCTCTTCTTTGCTGATGATCTTGTGCTATTTGTTGGAGCTAACCCTCAACAGGCAGACATAGTGCTCAAATGTATTGATTGTTTCTATGAAGCCTCAGGTGAAATTGTTATCAAAGAAAAATTCAGAGTGTTTTTCTCCAAAAATGTCAAGAAAGATAACATAACTGAAATTTGTAAGAGACTGGGAATTCAAGCCACTTTGGATATAGGGAGATACCTTGGTGTCCTTGTGATCCATGGCAGAATTACCAAAACCACTTACAAATACATCATTGATAGAATTGACCAGAAACTCACCAACTAGAAGGCCAGAACACTCTTCCTGGCTGGCAGAGTCACCCTTGCCACTTTTCTCTTGAATGCTTTTCCCACCTATGCAATGCAAACCACTTTCCTCCCTGCTTCTATCTGTGATACCATAGATATGAAAGTTAGGAGTTTTGTGTGGGAACCATTGATGGAAAGAGGAAAACATACTTTATTTCATGGGAGAATATACGTAAACCTAAGGAGCTAGGTGGTCTTGGTTTAAAGTCTGCTAGGCATATGAACATGTCTTATATGATTAAACTTGAGTGGAATATGCTGAACAAGGACACTGATTTGTGGGTTCAAGTGTTGCAGGGAAAATATTTCAAGCAATGTAATGGGGAGATCCTTTCAATAAAGAAGAGTAACCACTCCAATCTTTGGAAGGCCATTGTCAAAGCAATGAACATCATGAAGCATGCTACCTGCAGGAGTATTAGGAATGGCCAGTCCACCAAGTTATGGACCCATCCTTGGGTGGACAGTAACATCATTCTGGAAGACTATGCTTTGGTGGATCTTTCTGAGGAGGACAGAAACTCTGTGGTGGCTGACTAGATCATAGAGGAAGGTGAGTGGGACTGGGAAAACTCAATATGATCCTTCCTAATACTATGCTATCGGCCATTGCAGGTATGGAGAGACCTGACCCTGACCTTGGAGAGGACATCACCATCTGAGGATTGGAGAAGGGTGGTCATTTCAGACTGAAGTCAGTCTATGACCTTGTTGCCGAGAATGATGATAGAGAACCTAATAGATGTTGGAAAGAGCTTTGGAAATGGATGGGCCCTCGTAAAGTCAAAAATTTCCTTTGGCTTGTCTTGCACGGCAGGCTTCTCACAAACAAGGAGCTGACGAAAAGAAAGATCACAACTAACAGCCAATGGAACTTTTGCAAAGACCAGGAAGAAACAATTGAGCATATTCTTAGAAGCTGTAGCAAAGCTAGAAGTGTGTGGGAAAACTACAGATCAAAAGTGTGGCCAACAGCATAATCCTCCCTTTTCATGAATGGTTGATGGTCAATCTGGAACAGCAGGAAACTGCTACTGCTTTTGGAATTATTGTTTGGCGGCTATGGAAACAAAGGAATGAGGAGGCGATCGATGACAAGGTGTTCTCCGGGAATGGATTACTAGCAAGAATACAGGCTTGGTTCAACATTGTTGAACAGGCTCAAAGAAGCATCCAAAAGACCACCAATGTCAGTACATGCACTAGCCATAGCAGGCTTGTGGGATGGGATGCACCAGAGGAAGGTTGAATCCAATTGCAAGCCGACGACTCAGTTATTACTCAATCTGGGAGGGCTGCAGCAGGACTCTTTAGAGACAATTTGGGTAGATGTCAAGGCGCTTATGTTTGCATTATTGGATCCTATTCCATCACTGCCGCAGAACTAAAAGGAGCCCTGGAAGGATTCAAGATTTCCTAGAAAAGAAGGTATCGAATGGTCCCGCTCAAGCTCGATTCCATGACTGCTATTGAGATCATATAACAACGACACAATAATGATCATAGGCATGGGAATCTTGCACAACAATTTATGTTTTATTTAAATCCCGATTGGGATGTCTGTATCTCCCATGTTCTTAGGGAAGCTAATTTTGTAGCCGATTACTTGGCAAGCAAGGCTCATGACTCTGATTTTGGCACACATCCCTTCAATGTGTGTGATAGAGACCTTGTTCAATGGCTTCGCCATGATGTACGGGAAATTTCCCATGATCGTTATTTTAGTAATGTGACCTAGATGCAATGCGTCTATCTTTCTACAAAAAAAAAAACATAATTTTCCATTTCAATTAACAAGAAATCGGAATTTTTTGTTGTGTGTTCGTGGAACCATGGGGTCGTTTGATTTTTGTGATATTTAAATCAATGCATTGTGATTAATACATGCATTGTAATATACACGCAATCAAGGAAAATGATGTAATATACTCTACATTGTTTGGTTTTGGTGATAGTTTTTTTAATATTCAACAAGTTATATCACTTGTGGATAAATGCCAAGTTTGGTCACTAGGTTTACTAAAATGTGTCATGTTTAGTCACTGAAAAAATAAATATCAATTGTGATCACTCGAATTAGTAAAACGGTCCACGTTTAGTCACTCTTTGTTAACTTTATCTAATGTGGCAGTCAACCATTAACAATTGATCGTTAAATGGCTGACGTGACAATTAAAAATTTAATAAAAATAAATTTAATTCTTTTAATATTTCCACGTCATTAAAATAATAAACAAAAATAAATAAAACAAAAAAACCCCTTCCTCATCCGACCTGTCCCCGGAAAAATTCCTTCCCTAGAAAAATCTCCACCACCGACGTGTAGAACTTCCCCGGATTCCCCCGAAGGAATCATGGACCGCCGTTGTAGCCAGTACCTTCAATTCAGTATCCAAGTCTTCAGACCGCGACCGTCAAGGACAAGAACACTGCTTTCGCCGCCACCGTCGCCCCGAACACAATCTACTCCGCCCAAATATCCGCATCTGTTTCAATTCAATTAAAAATATCCAATCTAATCAAATTCACGCCAGACTCAATTGAATCGACGGGAAAGGGGAACCAAATTTAGAGACAAAAAAAAAATTAGCTGACTCACCATGGTGACGCGCCTGGAGATGGTCTCGAAGTCCTGGCTCTTCTTGGAGCTCTCGATGTACTCCAACAGAGTTGAAGAACGACGACACCTCGTAATCTCCGATTTCTCAATAGTTCTTCATCGTCTACACGACCGCGAACTGATTGTCATCGTAGGATCTCAAGGTGCAGAGACGGGGCTGGAGCATGATCTTGCCGTTCTCCCCCGTTGATGCTTCGGTCTTACGATGACAGAGTGACCAAATGGACTGGAGCCCCAACGGATCCGTTCCTGAAAACTGGCGATTGCTTGTTCCCGGCGGCTCCGAGGCCGCAGCAGTGGCACGAGCTGTCGCGATGGAAATTTCGGTGGGAGAGCTGAAACCTCTGTTTCCGAGAGAATCTCTGGAGAGGGAAGGTGGGGGAAGGAAAGTGGTTGAGGTGTAGGAAGGATGGGAATGATTCCACGTTTCTGTTATGTGATGTGAAAATATTAAAAGAATTAAATTAATTTTATAATTGTCACGTCAGACAGTGGTTGAGGTGTAGGAAGGATGGGAATGATTCCACGTTTCCGTTATGTGATGTGGAAATATTAAAAGAATTAAATTAATTTTATAATTGTCACGTCAGACATTTAACGGTAAACTGTTAGGGTTGCCTATAACATCATATAAAGTTAACGAAGAGTGACTAAACGTAGACCGTTTTACTAATTCGAGTGACCAAAATTGATGTTAATTTTTTCCAGTGACTAAACACGACACTTTTTAATAAACCCAGTGACCAAACTTGACATTTACACTATTACTTTTTGTGGGAAAGATCATTTTTGCCCTTTCTTTTATTGGAACATATATATAACTAGGGGTATAATTGGAACAAAAAAGAGAATCCAACAATCTTCTCAAAATTATCTCAACAATCTCAAATTTTAGTAGAGATATTACTATCACTCATTTTGAGTGATAAATGAGTGTTAGTTTCCATCACATAAAGCAAACAATGCATGTATTGTTTGTGCAGAACATAAAAAAAAACAATGCATTGTAACTATCCCAACCAAACAATCACCAAAACCAAACGACCCTATGTGATTATCATAGTGGATAAATTGGTTCGTTGATGACGAGTTGATGAATTTGGTATATTGATTTATCTCTTCTATATGATGACCTAGGATGGTATCTATACTATTGAATTGCGGTCATATATAACTATGTGATTAGCTGATTGCGATCCCAATAAGTAGGTATTGTTGGTTGGAAAGATCCACCATACAACTTAGCGGGTAACCCACGTGTTTTCAGTTTCTTACAAGTTTGGAGGAATTCAGAAAAGCTTTGGCAGTAGTCAATGATCGATGGAGGATTGGTTTTGAAAATTTCCCGAATTTTGAATTGATTATCATTTATGTTTTTACGGGTTGATGATTAGGGTATGCATAGCAAATGATACTATATTTAATATAATAAGAATAACACATTTATTTAGTTTTAAGTGGAATTAATGAACTAGATCGAGTTGATCTTTAGTATTTGATGAGTAATTTGAGAATGGATGTTGTGGGTGTTGGATTAAAATGATGGTGGTATCTAATACCGGTGGTAAAAAAAAATTGAGTTTAGCATAACCCCCGAATGATTCCATTTGTGCGGGTGATCATTGGTTTAATTTATGAGTTTTATAGCAGGGTATTACACCTATCACTATCAAACAACAAAAAAATTGAGTACTTATCGAATTACCGTATCACTTATAACAACCTCTTTGTTATTTAATGATGGTGGCAAAAGAGTATATAACTTGTACAATTTTATCCTTTCTCCTATTACGAAAAAAAAAACACCTTTAGTGACCATAAACAATTGAATAGTGAGTTTTCATAAAATTTGATCAAAATCAGGAGAAACCCATATGATCCGGGTCCGCCCAAGAAAATATACAAAATTTGCCCCCGATGGCCAGATAGGTTCAAAATCCAACTGAATCGATGGTTGAATGTGTTGACAATCTAACTCGATCATTAGCCAATGGGTTGAGATCCCTACCTAGCCAACCTGTCTAGCTCCACAGGTGGGACAAGATGAGGGATGTCTGGCATGAGGATGGGTGGCTTACCGTCTGGGCCATGGGTGTGTATGATTTTCAACCCATACGAACCATGGTGTGACCCGATTTTCAACCTGTCTGGTCTCATTTTCTAAAACTTATTTTCAATTAAATCTTTCCTTCCTTTTCAAGCAACTAACTACGATGCTATCGAGATTGATGAATGTTGTGGCTTCGACGACCTCGCCGAAATAAGTCTAAGCTCACTGATGAAGAAGAGCGTTGTTGGGTTTTTGTTCACAATTCTCCTATTTTAACATTTCTTCAACTAATTAGATCGTATCTTTCAACTAATTAGACTTAATTACCCATTAAATTATCAATATTTTTCATTCTTAAAGCATTTTCCTCTTTGTTTTATGATATAAAGTACAGTTTTTAGTGCATTTTTTTTTTCAAATAACACACAAAAGTATGTCAACTTACCCCGACCCGTTGCATACCCCGTTATCAGTGCGAGGTCGTTTAGAAGTTGTGATTCTTCAAATTGATGTATTGAGTCAATTAATGTATTATCATTTGATGTATTAGACAAATATATTGTTTGGAGGTTTTAGATTGTGTTTTTGTTGTAAAGTCACAAAAGTCAATTTTGAGTGATTGTGAAAACTCTTAACAAAAAATAGAGATAATCTCTCAATTTTCAATGATTATAATGGAACCTCCAAAAAATTAATACATATATATTCTAACTCAATATAAACCAGAAAAAGATTTAATCTCACAAATACATAATTAACTCTATTTGAAATCACAAATTCCAAATATCTAACCTACCCGCCATCACTATTCACTACATCTAACCTCCCCTCACTAAAAGAGATAAAATTGGGTCCTCATAAACAAAATTCGTTTCGGCTGAGCTGCTCCCCGTCGTTCGACGGCCAGAAAACATGCATTCCACCGTTTCGCTACTTCGCCCTTCCCTGCTCCCGCCACGCCACCACCGTTATCTGCAGCTCGCTGCAGCATCTCCGGACGGTTTTCCTCCGCCGCTGCTTTCGAGTTTTCCTTCCAAGAAATTTCGCTCCCAGCCTCCCGGTCCAAGCTTTCGCGCTCCGGTTCCACTCCACCGAACTGGTACGCACTTTCTGGAGCTTGCTTGTTCTCATTTCCCGCTTTCTCTAGTTCGATTTAACGAGGACGCAACTGGTATACTAAGTTGGTCTCGCGCCGCCCAATTGTTCCAGCTACTCTGGAGGCCGTTGAAACTGCCGAGAGCGTTTCGGACTTCGTCGAAGTTGGGTATCTATCCAGCGTCCACGGACTTCATGGAGAGATTTGTGTAGAGCCCACCACGGATTTCCCTGAACTCCGATTTTCTGAGGTATGGCAGCAGCTAATTCATACAATTGAGAGGATTTCGGGATGTTTAGTATGTAATTGTTTCGTCTTATCGTTCTGAATTGATGGACGGGGTTTTCAGCCCGGGAGAAGATGGTTGAAGCAATCTGTTAACGGTAAAGAAGTGATTCAAGAAGTTGAGCTGCTGGAAGGGAGAGAAAACCCTGGGAAGAGGAGTTGGGTGCTTAGACTTGGAGGATTTGAGACAGTTGATGAGGTGAGTCCAGTCAAGTCTTGCGTCATAGCTCATGCATTTGTTGTCACCCGTGTCATGATGGAAATTAGTGGTTCGGGTTTTGGTGACACGAGGAATGGCAATCGATTGTAGAATTGCTGAAGTTAGCAATATGCATGTATTCTGATGTGTTAATTTCCCTCAACTAAAGATTTTGGGTAATTGCAATGGTAAGGACAGATGGGAATAGTTATGCCTACTGCCTTAGTTGACTCGATTGTTGGCTGAATATGTCTTTTGGTTTTACAGGCTAGGCAACTAATTGGATCGGCTTTGCTAGTCAGAGAAGATGATAGACCTGAACTGGAGGAAGGGGAGTTTTATACTCGTGACCTGGTTGGGATGAAAGTAATTCTCAAGGTTTGTTGTTTATATGATTTTTTACACACCGGCATATGTGGTCTCAAAATAATGTTAATTTAGTATTCTTGCCTGTGAATTTCTTGTTTTCTTTCTCTCTTTGGGAACGAGCTATATACTATATAGTCAACCTATTTGGCCTGTAGAATTTAGGAGCACATCATGTTTCCATTTTGTTCTTCCCCCATTTTTTTTTTCACTTTCTTTCTGAGTGATGCTCTTCATTGATTAGTTAGTTGATGTAGCTATCGTTGTTAAGTGCTAACTGATACTTTTGTTTATAGGATACATCTAAATGTGTGGGAACTGTTGTTGACGTTTTCAACAGTGGGGCATGTGACCTTTTAAGAGTCATGCTTTACTCAGCAACAGATGCAATTGATGGAACTAAAACTCCGGTGATTGAAGAAACTGGTGTCTCTGGCCCTCTTGTGTGGGTGCCATTTGTTGAAGCAATTGTTCCAGATGTCGACATGCACAAAAGAGAAATGTGGATCACACCCCCGAAAGGACTTCTCGAGTTGAATGTACGCTCGGATGTGAGGTCTAAGAAGGAAAGGCGCCAGCTTGTGAGGCATACTTCTTTGTACTCTGCTTTACTTGTCATTATTTTGGTTGTTGGTTGAGAATGTCAAGAGCCAGTTGATCCCAATAACTCGAGTTGTTGGGAAAAGTTCAATGATGGATCTTATACTACATACTAACATAGAACTTCTTCACAAAATTTGGATGAAAAATGACTGTTTACATGATTTTCTTCCAGTTATGAAGAAGAGGAATGAGCTATGATAACATCACTGATAATAGTCTTGTTACCCCTTTATCTCTGTTACGCTGTTATATTCGCTGTTCTAGTTAAGACTTGCTATTCTTTAAGTAGTGGGATTTTGACTTCAACTTTGGTTTCTTCATGAGCAGTAAGGTGAGGAAACATGTAATGTAATTTGTAGGCTACTTCCATTCAGCAAACAAATATTATAGCTCACTAGGTGATAGATTTGGTGAACTATGTGGTTCTCTTTTGCTGTGCAGTTGTTCTGTTACCTCCTCATGCCCCCCTACCTAAAGTTTTTTACTTTACTAAATGAAAACCACCACTGACTTGAGTATATGATTTGACGCATTTCAGGAATGGAAAGAAAGAAAAAGGCTCCAGCGACAGCTTATAGCTGCCAAAAAAAAGTTAATTGACATAGAGCAAAAACATGTATTTGATGGACTCAGATATGGAGAAAAGTCACAGAGGAGCTTTTTGGCAGATGAAATTGTCGCAGTAAATTCCAATCTCCTTCAGCATGCGCTAAAGGATGTTGGGATGTCATCTAACAGGTGATTTCTGGATGAACAACATTGTGAGTTTGGTGTTACTAAATATTTGTGGATATGCCGTGGGTGTTGGGGCAAGTGGCTGGGCTTTATTGAATCAGTCTTTACTAAAGTAACTATTTCCATGAAGGGTTAAGTCTGTGCTCTTACTTTCTATGTTCAGTCCTTGTAGTTTACTATGACCCTGGCAAGTTCAGGTGTTTTCCTTGGTATTTTCTGCTCTAGGATGGTCTTATTTGTGGCATTCAGTTTTACTTAAAGCTGGCAGGCTAGGCGTGCCTTCAGCCGTAACTTTGTTCCAGCAGTTTGACTATTCTGCCTCGTATTGGTTTTTTCATTACCTATCAAGTCTATGGTTTCCTTGTTTCATTGAACATCTGGTTCTTGCACGCTGGAACAGGTTGAGTACAACTGAATTAGTTGGTGCAACAAGAGCCAAGATAAAGAATGGTTCTTTTAAGATTTCCAAGGCTAAGCTTAATACCAGCATCAGTGTAAATGATTTGGGAGCCAATTTGCGTTTTCATGAAAATGGATGCCATCTCTTGTCCGAAGGAAAAATCGGAATTGTCTTGGTTTTGAACCATCAACTTGTTGACTCAAAAAGCAGTGAGACTGAAAATCCACTGTATACATCACTTACCAAAACACTTTCCGATGGCCAGATATTTGTAAAGGTAATATCACTTCCTTCTTTTTGTTGATGACCCTGTTTTAAAGTTTTCACAAGAAGCTGTAGCATTTCATGTATACTTCAGATGGAAGACCGTGGATCTGTCCCTTTGGTTTTGGTTTGTCCAGAGCAAGAGATCCAGCCTCTGAAAGTACTATTTTCAAGCAACGACTTTTTTGGATTCGACTGCAATAAGGTTGGTGTTACTGTCATATTTTTGAAGATTTATACCAAGAAAAATGTTCAACCTTGAGTTGCAGTTAAGAAGAAGAATACTGCACTCCCTTTCTGTGCATTTGATCCATCGCCATCTGCCTATTTTTAGGTTTCTGACATAAATTCTCTTTTCAGGTTTGGTTTCTGGAGGAGGAGAAGCTTCCTGTTGTTACTAGTTCTACAGACGAAAATAGCTGGAATAAAATCTTGATGAAGTCTCCATGGGAAATGCTAAAGTCACCTGTTGGGACTGGAGGTGTTATTCAGTTGCTTTCATCGCACAACATTTCCAACACCCTCAGTGAAATGGGTGTCAAATATATCGAGGTTATACATTTTGTTGCTAACTTGGAATGTTTTTCCTATTGAACATTTTGACTGAAATTCAACCTTTCATCTATTACGAAGATATGAGAGTTTCACCCATGTTGGCATATCATCATTTGCAGTTATGAATCCATGGCTCCATTTCTTTTACCCTTTACCAGGTTTGCAGCACTACCAAAATGTTTGGCGGCTGGAATCCTCTGTTGCTGGGACTGGTTGATTTACAGGGAGCAGATGTTGGTTTCCAGATCTCCCAAGATTTGAGCCATGTAGAAGAGAGTTTCGACTTGATCTTTTCTGTGGACTTCGTCAAGTCATTGGCGAAACAGATGGATAAACTCCATTTCGAGGCGATCCTGAAGGCATATTCGCACGTACAGCTGGTTGAGAAAGAGTGGGTAGATATTGTGCCGTCGTCTCCAAACTCGTATGAACTCCGATGTTCAATTTACAGTTGCATAAATGCCTGCCCCCTGGACAAAGTCTGTATCATGGAAATAGTAGAATAGTTTCTCCAGAAAAATTCCTGTTTGGTGTCAAAGAAAATTTGAAATACATAGAACAGCCACCTAGTTTCTATGCTTATTACTCGGTGAGCATTTCAGAGTCTGGAATGAATTGAGCTAACATGGTTATAGCCATTTATTACTGGTGTGAACTGTGACCATCGGATCTTACGAGGACTCTTGTACAACAGTGTAATAAGAAAAAGAATTTATATGGTGCAACTTAAACAGTTCATCACTGCTGTATTTTACTTTAAGAAAACCAGTCAAGATAGATAGGAGCGACTCAGCGTGTGAATGATAATGTAGTAGGTACTGATATCCTATAGCTGAGCAGAGTATTAGATGGTTCACTTCTACGAATTGGAGCATTGGCGCCAAAGATCATTACTTGGTTGCTATCCACAGTTCAACAGAAGAGCAAGACATCTTCATCGCGCTGAATATGCATTGGTCGGTAAGTTGCAATGATGGATGATGGACTCGAAGTGACACAATATCACCAAGGTGTATGATCGACTTAGCTGGAGTTTCGTTGAGTCCACCCTGAGAGCGACAGATCTCCCATTGTATCTCCTCTCCGAAGTTCGAGGTGCCCTGGAATGGGAAGGCTACAGAGGGGTTCACTCCCTCTAGGAGATTGAGACAGGGTTGTCCTCTATCTCTGTATATTTTCACTCTATGCATGAAACGACTCGGCCACATCATCTCTGCAGCCGTTGCCAACGGGAGCTGGAAACCTATACGACTGGTGAAAATGGTATGCCCCTGTCCCACCTTTTTTTTTTTTGTGTGCTTACGATCTGATTTTAATGGCAGAAGCGTCGGGGGAGCAAGCAAGGGTCATCGATGACTGCTTTGCAACCTTCTGGTCGGCCTCGGGTGAGATGGTTAGGAAGGAGAAGTCCAAGGTATTCTTCTCTAAGAATACCAAATGTACTCTCTGCCAGCCCATCAGCCATATCCTGGCTATACCCATGACACATGACATGGGCAAATACCTCGGAGTCTCTATCTGTTTACACCTAAAATATTTTTGGCCTAAATTCAATGCCGTAATAATGAGTATCGACATTTAATTCGATACCGCTGGCCAAAACGATGTCATTTGGAGTCGAGCAATACCACGGAGAATTTAAGCGGTACCGCGAAGAGGCTCGGCGGTACCGCGGTACTTGAAACGACATTGGTTGCAGACCATGTGTGAGTCATGCGCAGGACATGTGTTACTGTTGGACAAGGAATGTTTTTTATTCTATTTTTTCTTGTTGGAGAAGCAGAGTAACAGCACCGTTTAGAGTCAAGCAATGCTGCGAAGAGATAAAACGGTGCCGCGAACCTCAAAGCTCAACGGCGCCGCGACAAGCGGCATCGTGAGACTGGGAAACAGTGTCGTTTGGCTAAAAACGGCACCGCGACAAGCGGCATCGCGGATGAGTTAAAACGATACCGCGAAACAAAAAACGGTACCGCAAGGAAGCTCAGCGGTACCGCGGCACTGGAAACAACACTGTTTACCAGAAAATAAGATGTGGGCCGCGCGTTTAGTATTGGTGTTGGAAAATGAGTTTTTTAATTAATTATTATTTTTATTCCTTGTCGGAGAAGGATAAAAAATAGCATCGTTTAGTGACAAGCAATGTCGCGGGTAGAACCAAGCGGTGTTGTTTAGTTAAAAACGATACCGCGAGTAAGCCCAACGGTACCGTTGTGCTAGAGAAAACGACAGTGTTTAATATAAAACAATGTCGCGGAGAAAAAGCAAACAGAGCTGTTTGAGGAAGAAAACGACACGCAAGTAAGCCCAACAATGCTGTGGTACGTGAAATATTTAATTAATGCGGTGTCACAAGGCTAAAAATGCCGCTAGTTAAACAACAACGCAGCGGAATTGATGTCGCGGTCGCAAATTCAGTGGCGTTGCGAGTTCGACAACTCCGAGAAATTCAACGATGCCGCAAGGCCAAAACAACATCGTGGAGCTCAACGATGTAGTGAGCTTGACGGTGTTGCAAGCTGCGCAATGTCGTGAATGGGTTCAACGACGTCATTATGGAAACTTTGTTGGTGGAGGCGTAAACGACGTCGCGGGCTCATGAAAATAACGGAGTTATTTTCTTGCACGGGAGATTCGGGAGTGAAGAGAAGATCAAAGCGGTTGAAGACTACGACTCTGTGGATAATAGTGAAGACACGTGGGAGTTCACGACGGAGCGGTTGAGGAAGCAGTTCCACAAGGCGTGAAGACTACGCAAGTGATTTCAAATAAAAGCAGCGGAGCAAGGAGAGAGAGGAGGACAACCAAATCAATACAGAAACACATCTGTCAACTTTACCTTTTTTCTCTGTAACTCCTTCGCGGAGCTCTCCTTCCAGGAACGATCTCCATAGTTGTAGTCTTAGTCGTAGTCGCGGAGCTCTCCACAGGAATCTCCATAGGAGTAGCGGTAGCGTAGATTCCTCAAAACTCAAACACCCTCGTTCGAACGTAGTTTGGAGAGGTGCGAACCGTAGTAACGGTCGTTCTTGGTTAGAAGTCAGAGGTGCATCGATCAAATCAACACCGCCCGGCGGTGGATATTTGACGGTCACGTTGATTTCACCATTTAGAGGTGCATCGATCAAATCAACGGCGCCGACATTCGGCGGCGGATATTTGACGGTCGTCTCGATTTCAGCAATCAGCAGAGCATTCGATCAAACGGCACCGCAAGAGTTTCCACCTCGAAACATCAAATCAACATCACCGGAAACGAATTCGGCACCGGCAGTGGCATTTGGTTTTCCCGAGGAAACAATTTGACACGCCCGGTGGGATACGTGTGTTTGAAGTGAAATATGGCTCTGCAGCATGGAAAACACAACGTTGATCTTCCACAAGAATCTGTGAAGGTGGAGAGAGTGCCCGGCATTGAAGTTGGTCGAGCAGAGGAGGCAGATAGACGTATCGGTTGGATGAAGGAGTGGCCTCAATCCATGTCGAGCATCGATGGGCATGTTGCACTCCTGTATCTTCGTCGATCTGTAGAGGAGTATTACCGGCAGGTAAATCTCTATTTTATCTCTTTAAATAAGCCTTGTGATTCTCTTGGGAGACATGGATAAATTTTTTGAGATGATAGATGAACATGTTTCCGGTATCGCCAATAAGGATTCACTTAAACTTGTGGCTAAAACAGTGGCGTTAGGGGCCAGCAAATCTCATGTTGGTTCTCCTGTGAACACTATTGTTTTAAAGGACAAGAAAGTTAGAGGTGTCTTGCGAAAGCCACAACAAAGAACAAAATTTAAACGTATTTATAATAAGTTTCAGAAACTTAGGAAGAACAAGTGTGATATCTTGAAAGATGACAAATTTTACAACATTGTTCAATCTAAGCCGCTAGGGGGGCATGCCATCCCAGCTCGTGGTAGATTGAAGGAGAAACAACACCGTAAGTGTCAAATAAGTTTGCCACATCCACCTTGTTCTAAGAAAAATCAAGCTAGGGTCACCACATACACCATTCAAGATGGAGGTGGTGACCACGTAAATAAAACCAATCCTGCAAGGGTTGGTATGAATCAACAGAATCCTCCATGTAAGTTGTCCCCAAAGACTCCACCTAGTGAAAAGGGGGGGCAAGTTCAAGCAAGCCCGACATGGAGTTGCCACACCAGTGCTTATGAGGAACAAGTCTGCCATGAGTGGCAGATTGGGGGGCAAGTACCATGGCCAACAAACTCCAGTCTCACGTAAGAGTTCAAAAGATGCGAAGTTGTTGTGTGATAAGTGCAAAGATCATGGCCGTGGTAAACAAAATACCAACACACGTGTTGATGGAGCTCGTAAGTATCGGCGCTGAAACTCCCAACAACATTGTGAGAGTGTACAACTGACAAAACCAGACCAGTCTGAGCAGGCAATGCGGCATGGTCAACTTGGCAAGACGAAGATTCCAAAAAATGTGAATGTCTTGTCGAGAGCAAGGAACACTAGTGATTTTTCATGCCATCGACCAAAAGTGATGGCTGAGGTGAAGCCAAATCGAGCTTGTTAGGAAGGAGCCACAACGTGGTTGTTAATGGTTCAAGATGGCAAGCGGTATTGTTTTCTCTTTTCTCAACGGTGTTGGAGGGACACAATGCTGTAAAAAAAAGGGAGAGAGAGATCGCCAAAGCAATACCGGTCAAGGAAAAAATCGGAGCTGTTTTGGGAGAAATGGCTTTGCTATAGTGGGAAGTCTATTACCGCTAAGCTATAACCTTGATTTTAAAAAAAGTATATACAAAAAAAACAAATTCAACTCTGGCCCAAGCAGCATCGCAGGGATGCAAGGTTGTTGTAATTTGGTTTTAATTTGGCGACAATAGTGGTGCAGACTAAACAACGATGCAAACCATAGTTAAATCCAACAAGGTCACTCCACCTTCTTTGCCGCAAGTTTGCTTGGCAACAATGTTGGGGTTTTTTTTTAATAGACAAAAACAGCGCTGTTTTGGTGTTTGAAAGATTGGAAGACAAAAACAGCGCTGCAGCTTCGTGTGTTTACACGATTGGGTGAGACCATGCTGCTTAGTAGTTTTAACGATGTGGTTAAAAGAAAAAAGGTTCAAAATGCACTGCTTTCGGGCAAAGCCGAGCTGCAAAGCTGTGCAGCGGTGTTGTTTTTCTTTTCTCGCCACGGTGTCGTTTGGGATCGCAAGAAAAAAAAAATCGGAGCAGTTTGGGAGAAATAACTTTGCAGAGGTTGATAAAAAATATACAGATTAAATTTCCTCTGAAGCCGCGCTCGACGAGAGAGAAAGAGAAATCAGAGCTGGCTTATGGGTAACAAAACAACTCTGTTTGGGAGCTGCAGCCTGCAGTACTGGCTACCCAAATTTGTTGAAAAATATAATAACAATAATAATAAAAGGCGGCAGATTGGTTAAGTAAGGAAGTAACGTTGAAAAGAGTAAGACACATAAGCTTTGGGCCAAAGCAGCACTTTTGGAAGAAAAAACAAAGCTGTTGTTTAAAAAAAGAAAATATTGGCAATGAGAGTTGAGACGCCTAGCATGGCAAACAAATGGTCTCATCGATGTACGGATCATTAGTTCTGTTGGCGAGCAACTTGGCTAAAAGTAAATATAAAAAAAAGACACTCAGGAATTCGGCTATGGTTAGCCGTTTCCACGAAGAGACGATAGATCAAAATGTTGTGGTGCTGGAGCAAAACAATGCTCCGGTTTTGTTTAAAGCCAAAAGGAGAGTTTTACTTGGCCAAAACCATGTTATGTGGTTGTTTAGCAAAGCAGCGGAAAGGGATTTACTTGGGACCAAAATGCTGCTGTTTGCTAAAACAGCGTCGCGGGACAGCTATGCGGTTGAGATTGCCGCAGTGTTGCTGATAAAAAAAATAAAGAGGGCCAAACAGCGCTGTCCTAGGTGGGTGATTGTATTAGTGAAGGACGCTAATAATGAAACACATCTGTTTTTTTTTTCTTCTTCCCCTAAACGGTGTTGTGGAGCTGCTGCTGCGTGGTATAGGCGAATGAGGGTTGATTTAAGAGTTTCTTTTTCACAAAATAATAATAAAAGAGCAAGATACTGCCACTTTGGTTGAAGCAGCACTGCAGCCCTGCGACACGTTGCAGTGGTGTTGAATGTTTGTTTCCTTGTCGATAAAGGTCTCTCGCACAGTTGAAGGAAACATAAATAAAACAATTAAGCCAATTATGGTTTAGTTAGGAAGAAAATATAGCACCAAAACGCAGTCGTTGGGAACTTGGAACACACAAGATTGCGAAGTATTGCAGCTTGTGAGCCACTAATCAGCAACGTAGGTCTTGCTTTCATGGCTATTTCACATAACCTTGTTATTTTTCCACCCAAGCTGTGTAATTTGCCATCTTAGTTGTTTCTGGGTTTAGCCCTGGTGGTTTCGAAATTATATTAGGTGGTATAAGTAGTGTCAACAACTTAGTTCATAAGAACTGGATCTTATAAACGAAGTTGTGGGGGGGCATTGTTTACACCTAAAATATTTTTGGCCTAAATTCAATGCCGTAATAATGAGTTTCGGCATTTAATTCGATACCGCATGGCCAAAACGATGTCGTTTGGAGTCAAGCAATACCGCGGAGAATTTAAGCGAGACCGCGAAGAGGCTCGGCGGTACCGCGGTACTTGAAACGACATTGGTTGCAGACCATGTGTGAGTCATGCGCAGGACATGTGTTACTGTTGGACAAGGAATGTTTTTTATTCTATTTTTTCTTGTTGGAGGAGCAGAGTAACAGCACCGTTTGGAGTCAAGCAATGCTGCGAAGAGATAAAACGTTGCCGCGAACCTCAAAGCTCAACGGCGCCGCGACAAGCGGCATCGCGAGACTGGGAAACAGTGTCGTTTGGCTAAAAACGGCACCGCGACAAGCGGCATCGCGGATGAGTTAAAACGATACCGCGAAACAAAAAACGGTACCGCAAGGAAGCTCAGCGGTACCGCGGCACTGGAAACAACACTGTTTACCAGAAAATAAGATGTGGGCCGCGCGTTTAGTATTGGTGTTGGAAAATGAGTTTTTTAATTAATTATTATTTTTATTCCTTGTCGGAGAAGGATAAAAATAGCATCGTTTAGTGACAAGCAATGTCGCGGGTAGAACCAAGCGGTGTTGTTTAGTTAAAAACGATACCGCGAGTAAGCCCAACGGTACCGTTGTGCTAGAGAAAACGACAGTGTTTAATATAAAACAATGTCGCGGAGAAAAAGCAAACGGAGCTGTTTGAGGAAGAAAACGACACGCAAGTAAGCCCAACAATGCTGTGGTACGTGAAATATTTAATTAAAGCGGTGTCGCAAGGCTAAAAATGCCGCTAGTTAAACAACAACGCAGCGGAATTGATGTCGCGGTCGCAAATTCAGTGGCGTTGCGAGTTCGACAACTCCGAGAAATTCAACGATGCCGCAAGGCCAAAACAACATCGTGGAGCTCAACGATGTAGTGAGCTTGACGGTGTTGCAAGCTGAGCAATGCCGTGAATGGGTTCAACGACGTCGTTATGGAAACTTAGTTGGTGGAGGCGTAAACGACGTCGCTGGCTCATGAAAATAACGGAGTTATTTTCTTGCACGAGAGATTCGGGAGTGAAGAGAAGATCAAAGCGGTTGAAGACTACGACTCTATGGATAAGAGTGAAGACACGTGGGAGTTCACGACGGAGGGGTTAAGGAAGCAGTTCCACAGGGCGTGAAGACTACGCAAGTGATTTCAAATAAAAGCAGCGGAGCAAGGAGAGAGAGGAGGACAACCAAATCAACACAGAAACACATCTGTCAAACTTTACCTTTTTTCTCTGTAACTCCTTCGCGGAGCTCTCCTTCCAGGAAGGATCTCCATAGTTGTAGTCTTAGTCGTAGTCGCGGAGCTCTCCACAGGAATCTCCATAGGAGTAGCGATAGCGTAGATTCCTCAAAACTCAAACACCCTGGTTCGAACGTAGTTTGGAGAGGTGTGAACCGTAGTAACGGTCGTTCTTGGTTAGAAGTCAGAGGTGCATCGATCAAATCAACATCGCCCGGCGGTGGATATTTGACGGTCACGTTGATTTCACCATTTAGAGGTGCATCGATCAAATCAACGGCGCCGGCATTCGGCGGCGGATATTTGACGGTCGTCTTGATTTCAGCAATCAGCAGTGCATTCGATCAAACGACACAGCAAGAGTTTCCACCGCGAAACATCAAATCAACATCGTCGGAAACGAATTCGGCACCAGCGATGGCATTTGGTTTTCCCGAGGAAACACTATCCTTCACGGGAGGATCACCAAGAAGACCTATAAGTATATCACATACCGGATTGATCAGAAGCTTGCAGGTTGGAAAGTGAAATCCCTATCGCTCGCAGGACGGGTAACTCTGGCTATCGCAATTTTAAGCTCTATTGCGCTCTATGCTATGCAAACAACTGTGTTGCCTGTTTCGATTTGTGATTATATTGACAGGAGAATAAAGTCCTATGTTTGGGGATTAGAAGAAGGCCACCGGAGGATTCACTTGGTTTCATGGGACAAAGTATGCAAACCGAAGCACCAAGGCGGTCTTGGCCTTAGAAGCTCTCGGATCCTCAACAAAGCCTACATGATGAAGCTGGTTTGGGGTATTCTTAGCCACTCACAGGAGCTATGGATACGTGTCTTGACGGAGAAATACCTCAAGCCAAGCCTGGGCAGTCTGGCCTCACGCCACATCGCAAGACGGGTCATTCTCCTCTGTGGCGGGGAATCTCAGCGGCTTGGGGTATGATGGACGGGGGAGTCCGAACCGCGATCCGGGATGGAGCTTCCACGTCGTTCTGGTATGACATCTGGCTCGACAATGAGGTTCAATTGACGGAACATTGCCTCCCTCCTCTCCCCCAGCAGCTACAGGACGCCTCCCTGGCGAGCATGTGTGCTCAGCAAGGTGAGTGGAATTTAGACTTACTTGCTAACCTTTTGCCACAAGAGCTCATTTTGCAGGTTGCAGGTATGTCTCCACCATCGAGTGATCTTGGGGAGGATGGCCTGGTCTGGGGATTGGAGCCACAAGGCAACTTTACTATCAAATCGGCTTATATGGCAGTAGTCGATTTGGATGAAGCAGGCACAGACCCCCAGTGGAAAAAGGTGTGGCTTTGGCAAGGTCCCAATCGGATCCGACATTTTCTGTGGCTGGTCCTACATGACAGGATCCTCACCAACACCGAGCGACTTGCGACACCTCACGACATCAACAACTTGCAACCAATGCAATGCAATGCAGCGGAAGAAAACATCGACCACATCCTCCGACTATGTTAGACAGCGAGATTAGTTTGGGGGAAGCTTATCTCACCTCCTGCCGACTTCTTCACAGTACGCTTCCAAGAATGACTCCTAACACACCTCTCAAGACAAGACCTCATGACTGGGTTTGGAATTGCCTGTTGCTTTATCTAGCGCGCTCGAAATGAGAGCATCTTCACAGGTCTGGCGACGACACCCAATGAGATAAGTCAAAGGACCCTTGCATGGGAGAGAATCTCACTCGACAACATAACCATGGAGCACACTTTAAATCTGGGGACCGTGGTGTCGCGCCAAAGTGTGGACGTTGGTTGGAGACTGGCACCGCAGGAGTGGGTCACAATTAACTTCGACGGATCCTTCCTACCGTCTTCTCGGCGAGCAACAGTCGGAGGGGTTGTGCGAGATTCGCAGGGTCGCTTGTTGGGTGCTTATGCCATGAACCTGGGAAGTTGTTCCACTACCAGAGACGAGTTGCTGGGTGCCATTGAGGGCCTCCAACTTGCATTGCGTCTCGACCACAGGCAGGTGGAAGTACATGTCGACTCATCGGCGACAATATCTCTTCTTCTTAGCCAGGACGAGCCATCCCACCATCATGCTTCATTGGTCCTCTAGTTTCGCACTCATCTTCTGTCGCAACCGTCCCATCGGGGGTTCGGGGGTCGTCGCGTTTGCTTTTTGGGAGTCGCCATCAATCTTACTTGGAGTGGATCGAACACTCATCGGTCGGCTCTAACCTTAGGTCAGAACCGGGGCTTGGTCTGCGAGTTAGAAATATAGAAATCTAGGTCCGGGAGTACGGTTACGTGTGAGGAAGTGACATCACACCCCACAATGCCCTAAATCAGTACTGCTTAAGTCGATAAGTTTTCATATGAGTTGGGTGTATTTTTCATGATTAATATGTATTTTTTTAGACCCATTGGACCTTTAAAGGATTTAAATTATATTAGTTAAAATTTAATTATACGTCCACTGACATACATTTTAAAGATAGAATTTGTTAGTTAGTTGGACTCGAACCTTATCGGTTGCCTACGGACCGGTCATACGGGATCAAAGTCCACGTAGTTCGTTATAACTTTGATAGTTTTAATTGTAACTTTTACCACGTTCCACTGAATGTAATTCTCGTATTATAATTTTGTTAATAAAATTTCAATTAGATTATTATGATGTTACTAAAATGAATGCAAGGATAGTTATTAGGAAGTATTTTGATGTATTAGAAAAGAAACAAGATAAACTTAATCTGCATTCAGCATTTCGTATTAAGGATTATAAACGAATAAAACTAGACGGGATGAGTAAACTTACACATGATGGGCTTGCAGCCCAACTGGCTAAGTTGCCAGTCCTAGCTTCGACCTTGAGAACACAAGTTTGAAACCCGCTACATACAGTTTTTGTTGATTCTCGTTTTATTTCAGAGAAGGGGGGAAGGGTAGTTTCGAACTTTCACCAAAACACGATGGCAGGGAGCAGAAAATATTTGGAAACCCTAGGGGTAATCTAGTCATTTTAACATAATAGGTATAAATACCTCTCTTAAAACGAAAAACAAACCCTAATCAAATCTACCCTAATCAGCCGCCGCCCTCTTCTCTCTCGACCCTTCGCCGCTCTCTCGATCCTTATCCTCTTCCATAGAAGAACAATAATCGAAACCCTAGTCACCATCATTCTCTCCTCTCCCTCTCTCTTTCTCTCGTTCCCTCTTCTCTAAACTGAGAGGAACGACGAAACCACAAAGAATGGTGAAGAGTCGCCCTCTCCCTCTCCCTCTCTCGATCTCTACTCCCCTCTCCTATTTCCAGAAAAAGAAATCCGTAGCTTTCTACTCTACGCCGCCGTCTTCTCCTCTGGGTAGCCAAGGGAATTGCTCGTATCGAGTTAAATCAACCTAGAAGGTTTCGATCTAGGTAAGATCCTAGACGGGGAAGGGTAGTTTCGAACTTTCACCAAAACACGGTGGCAGGGGGCAGAAAATATTTGGAAACCCTAGGGGTAATATAGTCATTTTAACATAATAGGTATAAATACCACTCTTAAAACGAAAAACAAACCCTAATCAGTCGCCGCCCTCTTCTCTCTCGACCCTTCGCCGCTCTCTCGATCCTTCTCCTCTTCTCTTCCAAAGAAGAACAATAATCGAAACCCTAGTTACCATCACTCTCTCCTCTCCCTCTGTCTTTCTCTCGATGATGAGAAATGAGGAGAGCTCCGGCGGCGAGAGAGTCGTTTTGCCGATGGGAAAGTGGGTAAGCCTCTGTTTTTTGTTTTGTTATTTCAGTATTTGAAATTATTGACGAATCTAATTCTACCCCTTACTTTCGCAGGTTCTAGATTAACAGATTGTGGTGATATGCTTCATAACTCGAGATTTACGTTTGTCTATTTTCTAATCAATTGGGTTCTAAATTGCTAGGAATCAATTTTCTAATTTTCTGGTTGAATTGGTGTTTTATGGTAACAGTTGGTAAATTATTTTTTCTATTAAGTTTTGGAATTCTAAATGATTTTAAAATACCCGAAATCAAAGCCACTGCTTATGATTTCAGAAAGAAAGAAATTTTTTTGTTCATTGGTTGGAATATTGCGCATTGGATTGAAGTGTTCAATGAAGTGTTCAATGACGGCATAAGAACATTGGTACCATACATTTGAAGAAAAATAAACATGATAAACACTGATACCAATTATCTCGACAATCTATTCTAAATTTTGAATTTGTTTAATCATTCAATTTGAGTGATAGTTTAGTCAAAGCAAGCAAATAATTCACGATTGTGCATGAAAAAAAATAAAAACATATGTATTGTATTATGAAAATGTATTTATTTTAACAATCTAAAAAAACAATAAAGACTTCCATATACAACCCCTTATTTTAGCATTGTAATTAATGAAACAATTTTTATCATCATGATACAATGTTCAAGCTAAGGTCCAATTATTAATCACCAGTACATAGTATTCAGCTTAGTAAACTATTTCAATATCCACAACTAACTATTAATGATTACTTGCTTTCTGTTTGAGGGTTTAATGTAATACTCTCTTGCTACACTCTAACATTTTTTTTCTTTTTTTCCAATATTTTTTGCAGTTATTTGTTAAATTAACTATGTTTCTAGCTTTCCATTCCTAATTATTCACTGTTTCCTACCAACTTATTGGAATGATGAATATTTTTTTCTTGTATAATCTATTGACTATGAATGTTGCTTAATTGATTAAATTCAACGGTATCCATGTTAGGTTTGATATCTCCAACATATTCTCACAATTTCTCAAAAAAACATCATATCTTGCGATTGATATCATAGTTTTGTTAGGTAAAGTTCAACAAACTCAATCAATATTCAAACACTTTGAAGTAGCTATCTACATATGAATATGAAGTATTGAGTAGCTAAAACTCTACTTGAGTTAGTATGATCTTTTGCGCTATCAATTAAAATTTAATACATTATTATCTTATTACAATTTAGTCATACTAATTGTGCAGTAGGGGACATCTTATCAAAATCGTATCGAAAGACTCCTTGATTGATCAGTTTCAGGATGTAATCAATTATACCAAATAGATCAAATTTATAAGATGCTCTCAAAGTTTGTTATAATTATTGAGGTTCAACAACACGTTAATCGTAAGGTGGTCATTGGGCATTTGTCTATCTCCTAGGTCGCCTAGACACGCTTAGACGTTGTAATAAAAATAGTAATTTTTAATCATGATGAATGAAGTAACAGTTTTGAAGCACTTTCATACTTCAGTTCAAATGATTTAACAACAAGCAAAATAACTCTCAAGTTTATAATTTTTTTTTATACCATATGGTATAATTAATTCAAGAGGAATTTTACAATGCTTTATAGTATTGGTGCTATAGGTTTTTGCTTTTATGGTACAATTTGAAGTTGTACCTTTAATGTTATGGTACAACTTCATATTGTACTTATACTATTTTGTACAAATTCTTTTATGGTACAACTTCAAATTGTACATTTATGTGATGGTACGACTTTAAGTTGTACCATAACATAAAGGTACTTATTCCTTTATGGTACAACCTAAACTTATACATTTAAAGTGTGGTACAACTTCAAGTTGTACATTAAAGCACCAATACTTTATAGCATAGTAAAAGTGCTCTTAATTCAATTATGAGCTGAAATAGCTAATTATAAGCACTTAAATTTTGAAGTTAAAACTCATATGATACTATTGTTTGACGAAATAGTTTTTATCATAGAGTGGTTCTATCGAGAGAGGTCTCTAAGAAACATGGCTTACTTTATTATTCCTTAGGTAGATATAATATATATTTTCATCGTTACTTTTACATTGGATTCAATTTAGTATACTTTTTTGTTTATATAGATTTTTTAATGATTTTTTGGGATATAATATATCATTATTGTATGATGGTGTAGGATATTAGTTCCTCTCATTTTAGGTTCAAACTTATGCATTTCCCCTTTATCGTTTCCTTTTATCAGTTAATAATTTTTATGATATTTTTCACTATGAAATATCGTGAGCAGAATCTATACACAACAATTTGTGTTATTTTCGCTTCCTCTTCTCTTGATTAGATATTGTGTCCATATTGATTCTTATATTGGTTATTGAATTACTACTTTTCTGAAGTTTATGAAACTAAGATTGATTTTTTTTTTAGAAACATGAAACTAAGATGCATATTGATAAAGAATGTAAGGTGTCATCTTCCCTCTTAAGGTTTAAGCACTACATATCATTGTTTACCTACTGTTAAATCAAAAGTCTTTCTAACTTGAGTACGAGCTACAATGACTTTTATTGTTGTCGATTTTTCACAAAATATTAGGTATGTTGCTTTTAGTTTTCGCATTCTTTTCAGTTTGATTTAGCTTTTTATGTGTTGCTCTATTAGTTGAAATTGCCAGTTGGAGATCTGCATGCTTCGACTACATTAACGTCACAGTGACTTATATATGAAACGTCACTCGAAACATGAGTGTGTGATTTAGTTTGTTTCTTATTAAGGACACTCTAAACATATACTTTTTGTTTTTTGTTTTTACTCTAAACATATACTTTGTTCCATTATATCATTGAATACACTAAAGTCAATGGAAAAGTCGAAACATTTTATCGCATACTGAAAATTGATTATGCATGTATGATGTAAAACAACTCTTACTATTGTTCTTCTTAGACGTTTTTATATCAATACGACTTCGTTTGAAAATATGTATTTATGTTAGTGTAGTTTGACATTGTTCGTCATTTTTAAAACTTCATTAGTCAAAATCAAATACTTTCCTATATTATTAATGGAGAACTTACCAAACTAAATAGTTACTTACTTCAAACCTCAACATGAACCATAACAAAAATATATACCTACACTTATACATGACAACATGAGAATCAAACTCTCCCGGCCAAGAGGTCAGGCCATAATCTAGCATTATTAAAGGTGAAAGCCAAAACTCATTGTTCCATTTCAAATTTTCTGCATCGAGAGTGAATTTAGGAAGGACAGTTTTGTCTTCACAACTACTTATTTCTTTCTTATTTATTTATAAAAAGGGATAATTATGGTGATTTGAACCATGACCACTTTAAAGAGAGGGAAGAGCTACAACCAATCACATTACGCATATTTGTTGTATCTTTTAAAAGAAAAACATTCACAAACCTAACATCTTAAAAATCATAGGACTTTACAACGGTTAGCTAGCCACCAAATCTCTCATAAGTACTTATTTGGTGATTTGATACTTTGGTTTTCATATTTTGATTATTTTAATTGTAATTTAATACTTAATTTGCGTTTCTATGTATATTATAAATAGTGGATAATTTTAAAATTGAAACCCAAATATAACTTGGTTGCATATCAAATTGAAGTATTAAGTAGGTCGAACCGTCGAAGCAATGTCATAATTTTATTTTAGTATTAATTTTTAGAATTACTATGAAGAAATCATATTGTTGTGTAGACTATATGAGAGGGGTTTTTTAACGTTTAAGTTGGGTTAACCACTAAGTTTTAAACATGTTCCTAATTCGGTGTGATTAGATCCAATGATCATTGTACGAGATTGCGTTTAATTATTGATTCATTTCGCCATTTTTTGAAATGTTAATGAATTTCTAGGGCAATGACATATGTCTACGTCTTAACGTCTACACACAATACAATATATAAGATTGGAATGAGAAAAATATTATCCGATTTTAAATTCCTACAACAAGATCCAAAATATGAATGACATATTTTCCTTCACAATTATTAAACTCATTTCTTTATAAAAAATAGACAAGTATTGAAATTTGAACCAATGTATCTTAAAAGGGAAGACAAGAATTATAAGCATGATTTTCAACCCATTGGTCGAATAAGTTTAGCCCAAACAGAGTATCTGTTAGGATGCTTGAGGCCGAGTTGGTTATCAGCCCAAACTTGGTCGAACCAGGAAACCCACTCAAATTAGAAAATCAAGTAGATTCAACTAACTCATATGACCACTGAGTCACTTCAAACCGACATCATTTTCAACAAATCTAATCACTATCATTGTTGACATGTCGTCCTTTTGATGATATATACGGTTTTGGTTGTATTTGGCTTCAGATTAAAGTTTGAAATCCATAGTTTGTGGATATGAAATCTTATTATGCTATAGTGATTTATCTTTGAATCTGGGTCTAGGTTGATCATAAATTCTATAGAACTTAGTCTAATTGAATTTTTCTTTGTTGTTTCCCAATAGATCTGAGTTGGTTTAAAGGTTATTTTGCCGATTGCAATGGTTGGAAATGGACTTTCTTAAGTTGGTAGTTATGTGAAGTTGAAAACAAAACGAAGCTTGTGTTTTAAAATGAGATATGGATTGGTCTTGCATAAGATTTAGCATGCCATCTGAACCAAATGTTCAAATAAAAACATGGCAATAAGAAAAAGTTGAAGAGAACAGATCAGGTCTATACAGAGCTATCTACCAAGAAGAACATTCATTTCTACTTTAAGCTATTCGTATTATGTGAAGACAATGATCATTCGTATATGTATGCAATATGGGGTGTGTTTGGATTCGAGAGATACTAACCTGGACGTTGCAAGTGGTTTCTTTGTTGTTGATCACTTGATTGTGATGGACCTATTGCTGCTCCTTGTCTGCTTTTATATTCTTCGAATCAAAGCCTCCAATCACTCTGTATTTTCTTTGAAAGGATCACCCAATATGATCTCTCCCTCCTTTTCTCCTCCCCCCTTTTGGTCACTGATCACCCCATTTTGTATATGGATTTTACTGTTCATTTTGGGTGTGTTGGCAAGTATTCGTTACTCCTTGAAAAGGTGGCCGTCATACTCTTCTTAGGAGGTGACAACCATTATTTGTGCCCTTTGAGCCACATTGCAGCCATGTTGACCTAGTTGACCCGAATTGACCCGGGTTAACCGGGTTGACCCAAAATTGGTGGGCTTGTAATGGGTTTATGGTTCTCATAACTTGGGCTTAAAATTTTATCTATTTTCCTTTCTTTTTGCAGGTCCTTGCTTCGGGCCCAAGGTGATGAGCTAAGGAGGCACTTATGAATTTGTTTACTTATTCGCATATGTAATGACTTGTACAAGACCTAATGTAATATTAATCATGTCATTCATTGTTGTAATAGACACATTTCTAAGTTATAACACAAATGTTCGACAAAAGTCCTACAAGACCAAATCCTTATCCAAACTTGAAGCAACCTTTCTAAGTCTGATTCCTAACATCAAATTTATTTGTCATGCTGACTGAAAATTAGCTGCAAACAATCATGGTGGCACTCGATGTTTAGCATTAGTCATTGCTAACCTTAACTTATTTAATTTAATAAATTGAATAAGAGTGAACTAGATTATTGATGTTGATTGACTAGCCATTGCTAATCTCAACCAATTTGGTATTAGAACTAAATATGACGGAATTTGGAAGCCATTGATATCTATTGACTAGCCTCTGCTAATCTCAATCAATTTTGTCCAAACTTCCACTTCAGTTTTTCCTTTTCGGGTTTAAAGTAGAGTGATTGCCCCAGACAAAATATGGTGTCTACATCTTCATCCAGATTGGACGGTTCGTATAATTCACATTTATAGAGAAAGCAACTTCCTTGCTGATTGTCTTGCTCTCAAGGGCCACTCATTTCCTTTGGGTAATCACTGTATTTCGATTCTTAATCTGGACATTCGTAGTCGGGCAATGTACGATTTAGTTGGAGAGACTATTTCTCGTCTTATTAATATGAGGTAGTGGTGCTCACCTCAGCACCCATTTGAGGGGGGAGGGGGTGGGGAATATCATTAAGGCAGCACCCTTATTCAAATGTGGTACACTATAACTCATGTACACAAGTAATACAAAAAAGTCATTTGAAAATGAATAGTTAGAGTTATTTGAGACATTTGGAGACCTACGTATGAACGAAATAATTAGCATTAGAGATTGAAATCAAATAAATCAATTGAGTAATTTAGTACAATCGAAATATAAGAAGAAGTGAAACAAATGTACTGAGTCCATAAAAAAAAAAAAAAGAAGAAGAAAGAAACAAATGTACTGAGGACTGAAGAGCATTATGTATGGGCCAGTCTGCATGCTAGGTCTACTGTTGCCTATATTTTTAAAATAGCCCAATAACCATTAAGGCCCAGCTCGTAACGGCGGCAGATCTCAAACGTTCAACTTACATCGGTATTCTCGGCCGTTGATCCGGTCTTACGATCTTTTTTAACCTAAGCTGGACCTCCACGGCCGAAAACCCTAGCCCTGGAGCTTATAAGTATCGATAGAACTACTGCTGAACTCCGAACCCTCGGCGGCTAAGGGATCCCCCTGCGGTGAGCTTCCTCCCTCATCTTCGATTTGATTTCTGTCGTTCAGTATCGCTTGTTGTTTTTGTTGTTTGCGGATATCGGTGTTTGCTGATTCGTCGCGTGATTCATTTTCTGGCTGCAGTAGGTGAAGAGGTTAGTGAAAAATGGCGGTTCCGTTGCTGACGAAGAAGATCGTGAAGAAGAGGGTTAAGAAGTTCATAAGGCCCCAGAGTGACAGGAGGATCACCGTGAAGGTATAAATATGTTTTTCTATTGTTGTTTAAGCCCTAGGGTTTTGAATGGCTGATCTTGTTTCATTGGCGGAGTTATTATGAGATCCTTGGCTTCGAAAATGATGATTGAACTATTGTCGCCCCAGTCTTACTCGCATCTTGGTATGCGAGATGGTGATTGACATTTCTATCTGATTCTTGAAACTTAGTTGAATTGATGATTTCTTAGTGGTTCTCACTTCTCTGTATTAATTTTTCCAGTCGAGTCATTGAATCTTCATTTTACTCGATTTAATTGGGGGTTGTGGTGTTTAATTAATTAAAGTATGATGATAGCATCTTGACACCCAGTCTCACTTGCATCCTCATTGATGCAATATGGTGAGCCAGAGATCGACTATCTGATCCATTCTTCTGTTACCATGTTGCAGTGATTTAGGGTTCTAGATTCTGTATATAGATACAGTTTTAATGAACACGTTCCATGTTGCTTTTGGTTTAGGGTTCTTTTAGTTAGAGGATTTGATAAATTGTGGGACGTGATGAATATTGTTTGACACCCAGTCTTACATCCTTTCGGAAACTGGAGAGATATAACATTTTGACTGATCCCGTGATTGAAATGTACTTGCTGAAATGATATTCTGAGCCATATGGTTTTGAAAATTCAATCTTTTGGTTTATTTTTGTGGAACATATGCACTGAGAAGTGAGGATACCTATCCACCTTCACTGTCATTGGATGATGAACAAAAACATGCACTACCATCTGATCTCTTTGCAAATGTTTCTATTTTCTCATGTTGGGGATGTGATTTTCTCTGTTTTCCGTCTAATTTTTTTTATAAAATCTTTGTTTGCACTTTGGGTTCCTGCAATCTGTGATGCAAATATTCCATTAATCACTGATTTATATGTGACGATTCAATTCAATATTCACCATCTTTCGGCTGAGGTTGCAGTTTCAACTACATGCACTTTTTGAATCAGTTAAAATGTTACACTAGAAGTTGTCGATTTGAGTTTGCCCATGGTATCTGATGTCCAGAATTTTTTGCATACCTGGTCATTTCGTTTTTTTCTGGGCATAAAGAAATTGGGGGGCAGTTGCGACACGGTTAGCTGGTTTCTTCACAGGCTTTCTGTTACTTTATCTCTGCTCACATGCTGGCACTGTAATATTTAACTCGTTATACCTATCTTTCCTGTTATTTAATCCAAATTTAGCTTACTGTTAGAAATTTGCCAATACTTTTTTTGGTTTAATCATTTCTTCTCATATTCACAGGAGAACTGGCGTAGGCCAAAGGGTATTGACTCTAGGGTTCGAAGAAAGTTCAAAGGATGTACTTTGATGCCCAATATTGGTTACGGCTCAGACAAGAAGACTAGGCACTACCTTCCCAATGGCTTCAAGAAATTTGTAGTGCACAACGTGAAAGAGCTCGAAGTGCTGATGATGCACAACAGGACTTACTGTGCAGAGATTGCACATGATGTGTCCACCAGGAAGAGGAAAGAGATAGTCGAGCGAGCTGCTCAGCTCGATGTTGTTGTCACCAACAAGTTGGCCAGGCTGCGCAGCCAAGAGGATGAGTGAATTGGGTTATAGCCGGTGGAATCTGAGTTTGTAATGAAGAGCTATGCTACTGACTGTGCTACTGCTTTCTCTAAATGGATAGGTTTTAATCCTTTCACTCATGGTATTGAAAGAGGATATATACACTTTTGAACTATGTTTGAAGTTGATTACTCGTTTTCTTCTCTATACTCGGGTGCGGTAGTTGCATCGTTTTCTTCCATATGTTAATAAAGATGTAGAGAGAAATACTGCGGCTTGGTTTGGGTTCTAGGTCATTGAGTTTACTAAAATGGGTCATGTTTAGTCATTGAAAAAATTAATATCAATTTGGTCACTCTATATTATTGAAAGAGTTTGTATTTAGTTGGTCTCTATTACTCTATATAACTCCGTTAATTGAGTTTGTTAAATGTACTCTCTATATAACTCCGTTAGTTGAGTCTGTTAAATGATCATGCAGTCATGTGACCAATAAAATCGTCTAATCAGCGTAATTTAGGTCTAAAATAATGAAACTCGACCCATCACATCACTCAACCCCAGCCTAACCCAATCCTTGAACCTAACCCCCTCTTCCCTGACTTATCCCCTTTCTTGCTTCTATCTTCTCCAATCGTTCCCAAAGACGACAGCCTGAAAGTGCAATTCCCCTCCCCGCCGATGAAACCCAAGGCACGATAGCAGCAGTAGCGGGCGTCGGCTGCCGACAGAGTTCCACGTAACTACTTTCGCCCTCCCAGCCCTGGCAGTAGAGCGTCCTTTCTAGTTGAATTCTCCTCTCCAATTAGTCATATGCCCTCTGTCGAGCTTCCTTTCCCGTCGGAGAATCATTTCGCCTTCCCAACTTATGTCGAAGTGTCCTTATCTCTTGGCTTTGCCTTCTGCCCATTGGAGCTTCCCTTTCCCGACATGCATTTGGTTCTATTGAATTTGTGCATATTTTATTATAATCAAATAGAATAACAAATAGTGTTTCAATGGGCTTATGATTCTGGGGGAGGATCTGGGATTTGGTGGAGAGGAGGAAGAATGGCATATGAGGAAGAAATAGAGGACTAAAGGCAGAGTGGCGGTGGTGGTCAATAAGCACCGGCGAATGGTTCATAGAAGTGAGAGAATCAAGCGAAATGAAGCCAATGTTTGGATACAATTCTATAAGAAATGGAAATGGAATTACATTTCCAATTCTAACTTTTATGGAATTCCATTTCCAATTTTTGTGTTTGGTATAATTCTCACATTTATAGAAATGAATTGTACTTTTAACAATTAATTAATACTTTAGTATTTTTTATCTTGAAAAATGAGATATAAGTGAGAGAGAAAGAGAGGAATATCATAGTGGAGTGATAAAATAATAATAAATGTGTATGAGTCCCACTAATTCCATCTCCATAAAGTCAATTCCTATAACTTTTGATAGGAATTCTAATTTCCATAATTTGGATCAAATAGAATTCATTTCCCAACATTCTTCCATTTCCAAACATAGAATAACGAAATAGAATTGGAAATGGAATTCTAATTCCTGAGTTTTTTTTTATCTATCCAAACAGGCTGTGAAGGCGGCAATGGCGGGAGCGAGCGCCGAAAGGAAAGAGAAGAAGATTTCCCAGGCCAGGAAGGCATCCTCCATGATTCCGATTCCAATTTGCACTACAATTGCGATTCCAATTTCCATATCCTATTCTGATTCAATCGCGCAGATGTGGAGGACGCGCTCTATGATTATTGATTGAGGGGAGCCCATGGTAGTGTGCGTGGCTTTAAGGTTGTTGATTGCAGAGCTAAGTGAAAAGATCCGTGGAAAGGGAAGTTGAGGAAGCTATGTGTTTCGCCGCCGTCGGAAGGAGTGGGGGAGATGAAGCGGTGGTTCCACGTCAGATGCCACATAAGTGCTGACTAGACTTTCTGTTAAAAACTAACGGTCAACTCTAACAAAAAAATAGTTTAGGACACAAATGTCATATCGAATACTTTAGGACACAAATGACACAAAATTAATATTTCGGGTTTCCTAGTGGTATTAGCTCTAATTTCTATGACTTTTTTTTATACTTGTGGGTGACATGTGAGTGGGAGGGGATATGGTGATAACACTATAGATGTCAAAACAGAACCCGACCCGACTAACTCGTCCGATCAACCCGACCCACAACTCGACCGTAACCCCCTATCAATCTATTGGGGGAAGAACGAAAAAAAGACCCCTCCCAAGAAGGGAGCCCATGGCAGTGTGCGTGGCTTTAGCTAAGTGAAGCAAGAAAGGCAAAAAGTTAGGGAAGAAGAGAGGGTTAGAGTCTAGAGATTGGAGATGGGAAGAGGGGGTTGGGTTGGGTTTAAGGGTTAGGCTGGCCTGGGGTCAGTGATGTGGGGTTTCATTATTTAAGGGCTAAATTATGCTGATTAGGCGATTTTGTTTGCCACATCAACACTTAACGGACTTTATTAACGAAGTTGGATGGAGACTAACGGAGAGTGATTAAATGTGGACTGTTTCAGTAATTCGAGTGACCAAAATTGATATTAATTTTTTCCAGTAAGACACATTTTAGTAAACCTAGTTACCAAACTTGGCATTTACCCATTCCTTAACCTACTCCAGTCATTACACTAATTGTACTCTTCCTCGGGGCAGTAACTCTAGCTAATCATTTCCAGTTATCGAGACAGCAAAATCCATTGTAAGTACTAGTTTAGTCGTCATTTTCTTTTGTAGAAAGTTAGTGGTCATTTTAGGTTTTAGCAGTGCAAAGATTATCTCTAAAAGAGTAACATCTCAACCTTATCTAAACAAAATATTGTATGCTTTGAGTCTATAATGTATGCTTTGATTCTATTTCATATGGTTTCGCTTTTGGGTTCATATCTTTGATGACTTCTCGAAAGGTCACTTATCCTTGTATTGCTCCACTGTGAGCATGTATGTGTAACTTTAGATTTCTTACAAGAACTCCTCCATTTCATAAATAAACGGATCTTGTCGGTTAAGCTTGAGAATGTTTCTTATGAATCATATATCTACCCCGTACTTTGTAGATATGAGATTTGTCTAACGTGTTAAAAATATGCAATAATTGGACACAAAAATATATAATTCATTGGTAATTTTATATTCCTAGAAAAATAGATGTTTTGAACTGAATTTTGCAGTTGATATGAAATCTAACTACGTCGGATGGGTCATGCCATGTAGGCATCCTCATCTGAATCATCTCCTTGTCCCTCTTCTCCCTCAAAATCATAATATCTCCAAGAGGATTTCATCCTTTCTTTTGCCTTCAAGGTGAAGGGACAATTAAATGTGGCCAGGTTTTCCACACTTGTAATATCGTTGTATTTCCTTTACCTGGTTTCCTGCATCAAAATGTTTAATCAGCTAGGAACGCAACATATCTTGGAACGAGCTTTTAACTTTGTCAAAAGAGTTAGTACGAGTAGTATAGTCTTTTCGATGACTATCATGTGGTCTATGTTTATGTTCATTATTGTACTTTACCAAGTGTGGAGCTTATTGCTAACCAAAACAAATTTCCTATCAAAATCTTGTTCATTATCAGATTCATACTCTGTAACATATATATGATTTAAAAGATAGAGATATTTTATGCTTCTCGTCATCTTTTCCTACTTGCTTAGTGACATGCTCGTTACTTAACAGCGAGCCAATCAATTCATCACCATGAAAAGTAGTTAGATTTCATACTTCTCCAATAGCTGTTTTCTTAGGTAACCACTCTTTAGTCTTTAGGCAAAGATCTCAAGATTTTTCGATTTAGATCTTTGGGAAGAAACATTTTCCCTAGACCCTTGACTTCATTTAATAAAATAGTGAACTGAGAGTACTTTTTTGTGGATGCCCTCACCTGGATTTATGTCGAAGCACTTGTATTCATGCACCTGCAAAATTGATGAGAGTCTCTTTGATGCTAGAGGTTCTTGTATAAGTAATCTCGAGGGACCGACAAATTTCCTTAGCAGTTTCACACTGCTCCACTTTATCGTCCTCGTCAGGAGCCATGGCTGATTGGAGTGTGTGCATTGACAAGAGATTTTGCTCTTCGACATTCATTGCTACTGGTCTGTCATGAACAAAAGTCCAGAGATCTTCGTCAAATCCCCAAAGAAATGTCTTCATTCTTTTCTTTCATGATGTATAGTTCGAACCAGTGAAAATGACAGGATGGTTGTAGGACTAGGACGCATGTCCAAAGGTTGAGGAAGCCATTGACAGGATCTTCCTTGGCAGTAGTGACTCCTTCAAGTGGAAGCTCTGATACCAATTGAGAGACGAAAAGAGATTAATTAAAACTCTAGGGTTTGTTAGACCAAATGAATAAGGAAGACTAAAAGAATGGTGAATAATAAGGGAAAAGAAACAAGGAGTTGACGATGGAGTGACGATTCACTTTTCTGAAAGACAGTGAGGTTGGTAATGGGATGAACACAACCTATACGGCCTAGTCACTATAAAGAGTGGTGAACCGGTACATTGTATTAACGGAGGCCTAAAGAATCTCGTTTTTCAGGGCCAACAACACTAGTTGTGAAGTTCTTCAGAACAACCAAACTATTTCACTAGAAGAGAGAAACATAGGACTAGGAGCTAAAGGTGGCAAGTGAGATCCAAATCCATTTATCCATTCCAATCAAATCCATTTAAGTTGGTCCAAATCCATTATATCCATATCCATTTGATTCATGGATTGGTGGATTGGACTCATGGATTAATGGATTGATCCACCAATCCATTAACACATATTATTTTCTTTAATCATTTTATAATATATCCTAATATGAAAAAACCCCCTGCTCTTAGACTTTTAGTACTGTCGACTCCTACTCTAAATATTCTCTCCGATCCCATAAAAAAATTCTCTCCGACGAGGCGACGACGAAGAGCAGAGCCGGCGACCTCTCTGAAGAGCAGAGCCGACGACCTCTCCACCGCCTGCTCTCCATGTCCAAATCCATCCTGCCGCCGTCCCAATCGAATCTTCTTTCCCTCCTCTGTGATTGAACAACTCCAATATGTTCCTCTCCCCTGAGTCTGAATCAGACCCAACATCGCAACTCCCATCCTGCGAATCGACCCTCCTCCAGCTCCGGCGAAATCTCCGCTGCCTGGCCCTTCTATTTGTGAAACCATCCTGCGAATTGAACCCTCCTCTAGCGCCGACGAAATCTCCACTGCTTGGCTCTTCCATTTGAGAACCCATCGTGCGAAATCGACCCTTGTGCAGATGATGAAGCTGGACTAACCGATAAGATGCAACCTGCGGATCGAGATGACTATGGAGTTTGGCCTTGATTTTCCCTCCAAGCGCCTTTTCTTACCTTGATGATCTTCAGCGAAACCCTAGCGCCCTTTCTTTCTTGCGTAATCTTATTTTTTGGGATTGATCAAAATACTGAAAGTTCAGCTTAGTTTGGAATCTGGGCTTGCTGGTTTTCACCACCACTTAACCATCCTCTATCCAAATTGGCAGCAACCGGAGGAGAAAGATCTTTGGAATTGCTTGACAAGACTACGGATATAAGCACCAGAGAGGTGAGGCTCCTCTTTACTATCGGTTTCAATTGCTTCTTTAGTTGATTCCTTGTGCTGCCTTATTGAAGAAGTAGAAAACCGGGCGATGTTGTTGTTGGCAGGGTGAACCATGCCCTTTATTTTTTAAGTTACTTTTGCTGAGAATCTTACACTCTCTGTTTAGGGATTTATGGTTATGGAACTTGAATCTTCTTTAGTTGGTTCCCATGTCCTAGGTTGCTATAACTTATACAAAGAGAAAGAAATACCATGATCATGTAGTTATTCATACTGGCGTAGGAATGTTATCTGTGATTCTCCAGTTTAGTGAATCATGTTATAGTAGACATGATTGTATGAAAAACTTTTAAGTTTGGATGTGAAATTAGGACATAGAAAAGAGGATACAATTTACCATTTTTTCTCATAAGTTAATCGAAATCCATTTCTTACTAACTTGCAGGTGATGTATAGAGCTCCGAAGATTGGGGTAAAGACCTGGTAGCTGCTTGGTCAAAGGGACAAGTTTGTTAGGTAAGCTATTTTACGGTTTACTATCTCTTCTCTTTGTCCTCCCTGGAATTGGAAGGGAATAAACAACAAATAATAAACCGAGTTCTTTTTTCCCATGATGTTTTTCAGGAATATTTGGTCAGTTTTGGAACCATCAGAATGTGTTTGTTTAGCAACAAAACTTAGTTGTCACAAGTTACCTGGCTAATGGAAACAATTCACTATGAGCAAGATATTGTAGGTAATTTGTCTTCACCCTAATGACTGTGTGCTTTATGTCCTTCTCTTGCTTATGCTTATGCTTTGGATAAGGATTAAGTTGATTGTGATTTCATTTCATTTCATTTCCTCTTGTTTCAGTTGGTTACAATTTCATTTAATTGTGATTTCATTACATGGATTGATTTCAGGATGTCAACACAAGAAAGAAATACCATGGAAATTGGTGATGGTAGGGATGGTAGTGATGGTGGTGATGATGATGTAGCAACGATGTCTACGTCTACAGATCGTACATGTGGTTATAAAAAGCGAAAAAGAACTTCCAAGGTGTGGGCAGATTTCGATTTTATTTCCGCAAATCACTTTCCCGACAAGGTACCAAGAGCACAATGCAAGAATTGTCCAAAGAGTTATGTGGATGGTAAAGGTATTTCTAATCCCTCTCGCCATATCCATAAGTGTGTTGGAAAATTGGCAAAAAAAGCAATCGAAGTGCCTATACCTAGTGCTGGAAAGTCAAAGACAATAGTTCAAAATGAGTTTAAGGAGCTAATGGCTATGGCTATAATAAAACATGGATATGAATTTTCAGTTGTTGAGCATGGTGGACTTCAGAATGTTGATGGCTTATTTAAATGATGATTTCAAGTCATTTACTCGGAACACTGCTAAGTCTCATTGTTTGAAGATTCATAAGAGGGAAAAAGAGAAGCTGGAAGCTCTTTTGAGTGGGGTTCCTGGTAGGATTTCTTTGACTTGTGATTTGTGGACTTCTTGTGCTACTGAAGCCTATCTTTGTTTGACGGTACATTATGTGGATTCTCATTGGAAGTTAAATACTAAGATCCTAAGTTTTTTTCATGTTCCTCCTCCACATTCTGCTATTGTTTTGTACCATGCAATATATGATTTGTTGAGAGAGTGGCAAATTGAGAAGAAAATATTCTCGATTACATTGGACAATGCTAGGTGCAATGATGTCATGCAAGGTCTTTTACTCGACCAATTGAAAGAAGATGGGACATCAGTAGGTAATGGGGATTATTTTCATTTCGTTGTGGTGCTCATGTTTTGAACCTGATTGCGAACGAAGGATTAAAAGAGATTCGTTCATCTATAGATGTTATTAGGGAGAGTGAAGTATGTCAAGGGGTCTGAATCTCGAAGGATAGTTTTTGAAGATTGTGCAAAGAGAAGCATTCTTCTGAGTTCAAAAGGATTATGGTTAGATTGTCCAACCAGATGGAACTCTACATACATGATGCTTGAAAGAGCGGATCTTTATCATCGTGCTTTTTAACATATGAAGTTGGTTGACAGAAATTTTGATAGATGCTCGTCAGATGTAGAATGGGACAAGATTGAGAAAATCACCAAGATTTTGAAGCATTTTAATGACATCACGAAGCTTTTTTCTGGGGTCCCTTATCCTACTTCTAACCTGTATTTCTGTAATGTGTGGAGGATTCAAATGCGGTTGATGAATGCATGTGAAAGTGAGGATAGTGATATTTGTCGTATGGCTCTAGCGATGAATGGCAAGTTTGATAAGTATTGGGAGTCCTACAGTACAATTTTGTCCATAGTTGTGGTCTTTGATCCACGGTATATGTTGGTTTTGTGAAATTTTGTTATGAGAAGCTATATGGTCAAGCTGTTGCTAAAACAAAATGTCTTGAGCGTCGAGGAAAGATATGTGATCTATTAAAGGAGTACAATGACTCTACTGATCAATCATCATCACTTGCTGAGTCTATTGATGAAGATATAAGCTATGAAGATGATATGGATGTAAGTAAATTTACTTTTCTAATTATCTTTATCTTAATGCATTTGTATTACTAAAATGAGTTTTTGTTTCACAGGAGTTCGATTCATTTGGGGAAATTCAATTCTTGAGTGATAGGACACAATTAGATGAATATCTGGATTGTAAAAGGCTCAATCGCAAACAACCGTTGGATGTTCTTTTATGGTGGAAGACGAATGAATCTCGATTCCCACAGCTTGCTTGTGTGGCTAGAGATGTTTTGAGCATTCCTATCACTACTGTAGCTTCAGAGTCGGCTTTCAGTATGGGAGGTAGAGTTCTAAGCAACTTGCGAAGCTCTCTTTTGCCTGAAAAATGCCGAAGCTTTGATTACCACACACAATTGGCTATATGGATTTCCAAGTAAGCTAATTAAAGATATAGTTTATTTGATAATAATTTAATCTAATACAGTTTATTTAGTAACATTTGAATTGCTTGATGAAGGTGATGATCGTGATAATGGACTCGAGGTGGAAATTTCAAAGGCGGTCGGAACATCTTCAATGACTTTTAGCTCTACTCCTGTGTGAAAATTTGATATATTGTGTTTCATGTAGTAGACTCCAAGCTTTCTTCCTCTTCATTATTTGTTATCATTTTTGCATTGTGAATGTTAAGAGGACCAACATCAAAATTGGTTCTTTCACTGAAAGTAGCATCTCCAATAAATTTTGGCAAGACATATTGTTGGTGGTTGGAAGAAGAAACAAGATTAATGGGTATTTTGATAAATATATGAGATGGACTGCTACGGGTCAAAAAGAGTATGCATACATGAGATGAGCTTCGGAGAAGAGGAAGTTGTAGATATGACAACAGTTTGTCACTTTCAGCTTGTATTGTACTTAGGGTCTGGAATGGGACGTCGTTCTTTCCATTTTGCAGACAGGCACACAGTTTCAGCCTTTTGGATTATAGCTTTCTCCATAACCCCTGAACGAGGGAAGTTTAATCCAAGAATCTATTGGATCCGATCCACGAATCCACGAATCCATTGGATCCGATCCACGAATCCATGAATCCATTTGGATTCGATCCACGAATCCACGAATCCGATCCAATTCCCACCTCTACTAGGAGAAAAGAAAGCACGTAAGAAGAGAAGTGCAGAAAATTAAGGGACATCGGGATTTTTAACGAGGTTCACCACAAGGTTAATCCTCGTCTCAGGAATAGTACCCACTATACCAAGAGACTTTTGATTTTCTTTTTGTCCTAAGAACAGGAAATTGAAAATTACTATAGAGAAAATGAGAAAATCTAAAGGCATGAACTCCACACCCAAATCTACGTAGGTAGGGGTGGAAATCGGTACGGTATCGGTATCCCAATACCAAATCCCGAAATACCAAATACCGAATTACATCCTAAATTTAATCCCAATCCCAATCCCTAAATAATTTCGGTATCTCAATCCCAATCCCTAAATATTTTGGTATCCCAATCAGTACTTTGGTATCCCAATTGGTATTATCGAATAAGAAATTAATTAGATTTGATTGCTTAATATAGGACAAAGAGACTAAGCAAAGAGTCTTGAGTTTGGCTAGAGCTAGGATATGGATAAGGAGAATGGAGGAGAGGTGACATTTCAAGTTTTTGTCATTGGTAATCTTTAATTTGATGAATTGGAGGCTAAGAGAAGACTAATACTAGTTTTTGTTTTTTGATGTTATGTAAATAACAATATATTGGTGGTTGAGGGTCGTGTAGTATTGAATGAGAGAGTTTAGTTGAGAGCATAAAATACACATTAGCTTATATTTCGGTATTGTTCGGTATTCCGGTATATACCGATCCCAATCCCGTAATCCCTAATACCGAATAACAATTAAAATTGAATCCCAATCCCAATCCCAAAAAATAATACGTGTATCCGGTAATACCAAATATAGAGAAATTCGATACGGTATTCGGTATATCCCAAATACCAGTACCAAACTTCCAGCCCTATACGCAGGGACTCATTACCACCACCTTTGATCAACTGAACCCCTACCTCAGTTTGATCAAAGTCACTGTTTAAAACCCACTCTTTTTACTCTACCACGAAGAAGCTCTCCAACAATCGCCTTTAGTAGGATACACAAGGGATTTAAATAGAGTTCTTGAAGGTGGTCGTTGAGTTTGAAATTGATCGACAAAAAGAAATTTTGGTGGCAATTGATTTGATTTCCACAGATTAGGGAATTAGATCCCCCTTGATTCAGGTGCTAGACAATTCAATCTGCTAACTTGATTACAGTCGTTCAACAGAGGATAATGGATCGGGCAAGAAGGAAAGAGAATGGTGAAGTTGATGAGTGAATGCGTGTTGTAATGAATATGCTTTGGTATGGGGGTAGGATACTATGACTACCCCAAAAGGGGTTGGGTTTTTGACACCCTCTCCAGTAGCTGTCCATCTGTCCTTCCTCTTTGGGAAAGTATTAATTAATTTTTTTTCCCCGTATACTTTAAATTTTGAAAGTTGCCATTATTATTGCTTTATTAGGAAAGAGCAATAACGCTGGATGAGGGATAAGCATCGATTGAGATCCCATTAATTCCATATTCCCCATCTTTCCTCTGCAGAAGTCGACGGCAGCCAAAAACCATCGGGCATCACCGCAGTGGGATGGCCTCCGACCTGCCTGGTGGGTTGCTCGCCGCCGGAGGACAAGACGCAAGGGATATCGCCCGAGATCAAGCCGACAAAGGTCACATCGGGAGGAAATACGGATCCGAGATTTCGCGTGGCAGTTCTGGGCATGCCAAGAACGGTGACTCCTGTGATTGCATCGAATGATGGGGGGTGAAAACGAGATCAGACTCTCTTCCCGAACGCAGGATAGACAGATGGTCGCCGAGGGATAACCCGCCGGAGATGAAGATGAACATGGAGGGCGGCGATGGGTCGTTTCTTACCGCTCCCTATCGTGAAGTACAGCCCTACAATATCAGGGAGACGACGACACTGTCGTGAACATGTACCACTGATCTGGTACATATACCATTGAACTAATACATGTATAACTGAAGTGGTATATGTACCACTGACCCGATACAAGTACCAGTGCAACTATTCAAGTCATACTTTCCACACCAAAATGTGACCACCCACTTGCAGTGTTAGATATTAACAAAATCGAAACTCATCCTAAATGTTCTCATTGCAGTGTTAGATATACTTCGGAGACCATTGAAATGGTACATGTATTATTGAACTGATAGAGATACCAGTGAACTAATATACATACCATTTGCATTGATACATGTATCACTGAACTGATAGATACACATATTATTGAACTGACACACATACCATTGCAGTAATGCTTGAACCACTTAACATATACATGTACCACTGAAAAGATATATATACAACCAATCTAATATGTAAACAACCCATCCACCTTTTATTAGTATCACCACTAACCGTGGAGCACAATGTGTTCTAAAAAAAGAACAATGCCAACAACAAAAAATATCCAACAATGTAATAAATAAAAATGGAATCACTAGGAAATTGTTTGTGGGAAGTCTAAACAACATAAATAAGGTGGCGAATGATGACTGGGTCACTTGGGTAATGCAATGGAAAAATAGAATTTAAATTATAGAGTTGGGGTTGCACTTGTTGTCCATTATCTCAGCTCTCACGGCGTCGCTTCTTGCTGGTATCCGCACTCGAGGAATGATCCTGACAACTTCTACATGACGAGCAACATAGATTTCATGCCTCTTCCCTCTAGGCACCCAAGGACACACTCTCTTCATCATGTCCATTCCTGCACCCAAGGATACTCAGAACTATCAACTCAATGATAGATATAAGAGATCAACAGGTAAGGAAACTATCACTGCAGAGATACCAAATTAGTGGTACATCAACACGTAAGGAAACTATCACTAGTGGTACCATTATTAACCATACTGAAGCATTTCATACCATTCTAGTGATAGCTACACAACGACCAATGTGGGACAAAACTATCATTGGAGTGGTATATTTACTAGCCATAAACAACATTATATACCACTCCAGTGATAGACACACCTTTGACAAATTAGATACAGAACTACCACTTAAGTGGGACAAATATTAGCCGCAATAAACATTTAATACCACTCCAGTGATAGAAAGAAAGATATAACTGGTACTAATACCACATGAAAAAATCCGGATATGTAAACTCGAAGACACATATATGGATAATGAAGAGACCATTGCACTAGTAATAAGACCACACAAAAAAAAAAAAGAGATTTGGGTTTGGGAGAGAGAGATAGTTGGGGGAGAGAGCTACCTCAGATTCTTCGCGGTCGTCTTCACCGGAAGGGGCTGAGAACTAGCGCAGGAAGGGGAGAATCTTGTTGGTGCGTCAACGACAGGAAAACATGGACTGTGGGTGGGAAGAGGAGACAACAGCGAGCAGGAGAAGACGGAAATAAGGGAGAGAGGAGGAGACGTATGGGAAAGACAAAAGGAGGAGAGAAAAACCTTACTATTTTTGAATTGGTAAGGGAACCTAAAAGGCCGATTAATGCCCTCGATTACCGCCTCACTTCCCTTAATTAATATGGGCCAGACAACTAAAATAGGTCATTAATATCCAATCATCATCTGTCATTTTCTCACCATTGGATTACTACTAATGTACATCAACAACTCCTAAGATGGGTATAAAAAATCAGACCCCCTAGAGGGGGGTTGTCAAGCTAACCGCTCCTTTGGTATGCTAATGCTAGGGAGTGGTTGAGGGAAAGCGAAGTTTCATTGGGAATGGGGATAGGCATGGAGAGAGAGGTTTTTCAGCCAACCCTTTTTTTTCGTACGACTGTGACCAATATGGGAGACAACCAAGGTTGCTAACCGCGGTTGAATCAGGATGTTGTTTTTCATGCCCCCAACAAGGTTTCTGGTTTGGAGGTTGCAGGATGTCGTTTTCCATTGGTTTGCGAGTTGCGCCTCTGTTATGCTTTTTTCATTCACCTAACCATATATTTGGAATTCTAAGTTGAACATTTAAATATTGATGTGATATGTGTGTGTTTGATGTACAAACTGTTATTTTGATGTAACGTCTCATATATTATTACCCAATGTTACATAAAATTTTAGATAATTTATAAATGTATAAACTATATAATGATTATTTTCAAATATTCGAGTTAAACCAAACTAAAGCGATTAGATCATTAATTCTCAACTCATATTCTTGATAAGAACAACGAGCTAAATCGGGTTTGCCAATCTTGATACTACGCTTTCTGTGAGAGTATTCATTAAAAAGAGTAAAAGTAAATCAAGAGCAACGAAATTCATTTCCAATCCAACCTCAAGGGTGCGAGAAGGAAGGCCACTAAACCCTAAAATATGCTACAATGCTGGTTCCGTCTTGTTATTAAATTCCGTGTTACCATTTCATATCATCATTCCAAGGTCGCCCTCAGCCTCGGCGGTGACAGCTTCTCCGAAGGCAACTGCTAAGTTCATTTTTTCTTTTGTTCTGTTTTCCTTTGTCCTTGATATGGTTTCAGAATCTGTTAAAATCAGAGCTGCTTCTCTCTCTAGTATACGTACACCATCCATATTAGGCACGTTCCAACATGGCGGTTGCAACGTGGTGGAGATTCGGAGGCTTACGAGACTGTCTCCGCATGCACTACGGGGAAAAAGGCATTCTTGCAAGTTGCAACATGTGGATTGCAACACTATTTAAAATTGTTGCGGTAGATAATATACAACAGCAACACTTTTTTGTGGGGCTGTGTATTGAGTATTTTATGCAACTTAAATTGATCATTTGTTGCGTTTGTTCTATTTTACGCAACACATATGCCAAAAATGAATATTGAGTTGCCTAGTTATATAGTTTATGCAACACTTTATCAAATTGTGTTGCAAAAATATTAATCTTACAATTACACTTTTAGTACAAACTAATAATTTAAATAAAACAATTTAAAAGTGGACCCTACTACATAAAAAGAAAAGGAAAAGTAACTAAAAAAATAAAAACACCCAACTTGAACCCGAATACAGAAAAAAAAAGTAAACAAAAAAAGGAATGCCCAACCCATCCCAACTTTACCAAACAAAGGTCTTGTTACTTTTCTTCCCAGAACTCCCTGCGCAAGATTCAACTTCCTGTTCAAAACTACATGTAACTTAAGATTGTCACCTACTTATAACATTATTATTTTAGCTATAATATGAGGGAATAAAAGTAAAATTCCAAGTAATCTAAGCAAAACTGCATGTAACTTAGGAAAAAGTTGGTCCAAAAAGGAATGAGTCCGATCGAGG